CCATACACCGGCAGTGGCCGTCACAGCTGGACCTGCAGAAACCCCATGGGAGAGAGATGCGCCTTCCCTGACTCGTAGAAGTGATCATGGGGGAGAGGGGGGCGTTGAAGTTCATGGGGACCCCCCTGAGGGACTGGACTGGAACTGAGGCTGTTCTGAGGAGCGCCGGTACTCTTCGAAGGTGGATGCAGCCTGTCTCTCTTGAGAAATAGGGTCGGCCCGGCTGGCCACACAGCTGCAGGCCCATTTTGCCGTTCTCACTGAGGGGTCTGCAGAATGGTGCTGGGGGATGGGTGATGGTCCCGATTGTCCGCGGACCCCAGGAGTCACATCCAGCCTGCACCGGGGAAAGTGCCAGTGGACAGGGAAGCGACCCAGAGGTCGCAGCACAGGGATGGCCCCGGGCCCACAGCGGCTGTGCCAGTTTGACTGGTCTGGTTGTGTGTTGCCCGTGGCTCCTTGTTCAGCTTTTTATGTCGCCTTCCTTGTGTATCATTAAATACACAGGTAGGAGAAGATGATAAAGCTGTGCTGCCCATCCCCCAGCCTCTCCTCGGCACACAGCTTAGAAATTAGGACTCCAGGCATAGATATTTTTCTTCTTTAAAAATTTCAGATGTGGTTGCAAGGGGGGCTGTTTGCGATTAGTGGGTGCTGTCCTTGCCCCCCGCCCAGCCGCTCTCCAGCACTTGCTACTGACTAGGAGAGGCCCTTCCGAGTGTGTGTGTGTGTGTGTGTGTGTGTGTGTGTGTGTGTGTGTGTGTGCTCACATCTGTGGTTAAATTTACATACCACGAAGTGAGCCGTTTTAACTATTTTTAAGTGTGTGCTCGAGTGGCTTTGAGAGCAGCCACATTGTTTGTTCTGCACCATCCCCCCCACCCTCAGTCTCAGAGCGTGTTTGTTTCTGCAGACAGTGGCTCTGTCTCTATCAAACAAGGCTCTCCACCTTCCCTCCTCTTAACTAACCCTCGGAACTGCCATTTGCTTTCTGTGTCCCTGGATTTGACGGTTCTGGGGACTGCATGTAAGTGGACCGTCCAGTGAGTTAGCCTTCTGTTCACTGGGGGGGTGACACTGACCACAGTGCCTTCAAGGTTCGTCTAGCGTGTAGCCTGGCTCATAATTTTTTTCTTCTGCTTTTTTTTTTTTTTTGTCCTCAGGAGTGACCCCTGGCGTGCTTGGGGGACCATATATAGTGTGTATCAGGGATTTGAGCTAGAGTCAACAGCATGCAAGGAAAGAGCCTTAACCTCTGTCCTGTCTCCCCAGCCCCTGTGGAAGTCTTTAAAATATATATATATGTATATATATACGCACACACACATATATGTGTGTGTTCTATATATATGTGTGAGTGTTAGATATGTATATAACATCTATACATATGCCATATATGTATAGACATACACATATATGTGTATGTGTTTTTAAGCCATTATATGCCCGTTGGTACTTGGATTGCTTCTACCATTTATGAATAATGTTGCTATGAACACGGATTTGCTAGTATCTTATCTAAGTCTATATACTTTCAGGGTTTGTTCTTGTTGAGAGGGGATGGGAGCCCCAAGAAATGCTTGGGGCCCAGGTTCTACTACTGGCAGTACTCAGCCAACTAGCCTGGGTAGCAGAGATGTCCCTTATCTCTTTTGCATTCGAGTGCCCTAGTGGAATCAGCAGTAAGAAGTGCCCAGTCTGGGTTAGTTGGGGTAGTGGGCTGAGTCCCCTGGAGTGGAAGGCTTGCAGATGGGGTGCCTTGCTGTTGATTTCGGGAGATGTGTGCAGAGTAGGAAAATAGCTGATTTTCAGTTACCCGGATCCTCACCACTTCTCAGCAGAGCCTGGCTGTGCCATCTCGTCCCCTACCATGTTACCTGGTGAAGGTGAAGTGTTTACATCACAGACCTTCCTTAGCTTTTCTCAATAACCTTGGCAAGTCTTTATCGTAACTGGGAACCCTTGCCACACACTTGAATCTTGAGCCCAGTTTTAACAGGAAATTGCTCAAATTGCAGGTTGTTACTCAAAGGTAAAATCTCTCTATAGTTCCTCTGTAATGAGTCCTGGGGCCTCTGGAGTGACCCGGAAGTTCTTACCGATAGTCACTCTGTATTTCTTAGGCTTTGGATGTGAGCTCAGTGTAGACACTGGCCTGGCAGGTAGTGGTGGTGCCCTATAATGCCTATTTTTCCACATTCGGTTTTTAAAAGATCATAAAAAGCAACAGTTAATTCGAAGATTCATGTAGTATATAGATACTACAAGTTTGAGCTAATGTCAAGTCAGGGCCAGAGGAGGTATGCGGTAGGGAGCTGAGTAAGGGGTGCTTGAAGGAGGTGATGGCAGGAGATAGGGAGGACTTGTTCAGCCCCCTGGAGGAGTGATAGGAATGTTCTAGAGCTGAGTGGGCCTGTATTGACTTTCTAGTTGTAGTCTGATTTTAAAGTCAAGAAAACTGAGACTTGGGCAGTTCAAGGGACCTGCTCTGACTCGTGGTTATGTTCCAATCTGGGCAGACCCAAGCCATCTCTCTGAAAAATAACACTTTGAAACTCCTGAGTATTGACCCACCTGCCCCTGCTGGAGGGTTCATCGCCTGGGTGCTGGACGAGAGAGAGCGCAAGTCCTTTGGGATCCTGCTTCCTTTCAGTGGGGTGGGCTTGGGGTGGGCACAGCTTTCCAGCAGGGGCTGCTGTGTCCCAGAATTCATTTTTATCATGGATGTTGAGTAGACAAAAAAAGCTTCTGTGTTTATTTTTTAAAGTTAATGATTCCCTAAAGGAAGTAGAAGCTGAAGTCTGACATGACACATTCTTTAGGCTGGGGGGCAGAGTTAGAGTTCAGCATTAACAGGGCTTTGTTTCTTTGTTTCTCTCTTTTTTAAAAAAAAAAACAAAATTCACATTTTATTTAGGTTGAAATAAGCTGTACAAAATTGATTTTCTTCACCAAAAATAGCAGTAATATTTTCATATTATTCCTGGGAAACCCATAAAACAATAATTCCTGTGGGTTTTCTAAGTTTTGCTTATAAATCAAGACGAGGCAGTAGATGCAGCCATGGAGAAAAGACAGGAAAGTAACAAATCAGTTGTCGGTATCATGGCCTCTGACCCTATGTTGGCCATGAAACAGAGTGTTCAGGATATACTTGTTAAAAGCTTAGTCCTTTGCTGGGCTTGGTTTCTTAAAACACATTTGCATCCTCCCTCCTCAAGGTTGCTGGGCTATAGCTGGTTGGTGCCTTTTCAGAATCTTGGGAGGGAGAGATAGAGCCATTGACCTCTGGTTGTCCGTGCTAGGCAAGAGCCAACCCAGAGTCCAGCAAGTCTGCGTGCTGGTAACCAGCGTAGTGATCCTGAGTGCTTTCAAGCCCTTCTCTGCTCCCTGCATGAATGAGTCCGAGGGGCTTCTCTATAGCTTGTTTGGGCTGGGGTGGATGACTTATAGGAAACCTAGCTCTAGGGGACACGCCAACCCAGAACTAGTCTCTGCTGGGATCCTCCTGTGGACACACACTGGCAGAACCCGGCCTGGCCTTTGTGATTGGTGCCCTGGTACAGACACTGGGATCATGGCATGCGTCCATGGACCAGTCCAGCGCCGGCGGATGCTCGGTTGGGTCACATGTGTGGGCCCCAGCCCTGCCTGCCTGCGAGGGTTCTCTTAAGAGTCTTTATAGCCAGCAGGCCCCAGGCTTCCCGGGTCAGCCTGATTCCCTTGGTCTGTGTTGGGTTGGCTGTAGTTCAGACCCTCTCCACAGGAAGCTGATGGTTAGCGTAGCAGGGACCAAGGTTCCTGGTTAGCCGGTGTGCATCGTGCCGGAACATGGAATGGAGAGCCTGGGTGTGGCAGGGGTGTGCTTGGAGGTTAGGACTTTGGCCTTCGAGGGTGCTACTGCTTGGAGGAGGAGCTTCTGTAGAGGATCTGGAGCCGATGTATCTGTCACCTGTCACCGCAGCTTCAGCTCCTCCCACTGCCACTGGGAACGAAAGTCACTTCCCCTGGAGATCGTCGAGTCAGTTGCTCTGGCTACCCAGGGTTGATCCTGTACCAAGCACTGTGCCTGCCTGGAGACCCCAAGGAGCTAGAGACCCCGTATCAGGGGATAGAGGTCATAAGCGGGGCACGGAATGTTCCAGATGGCATCTGTGGTGGTAATTTTCAGTCAGGATTGCTTGCAGGTGAACCGTGGTGCAAGTGACGTCACCCAGTCAGGGTGACACTCAGAATAGTGTACACCAAGGAGATGCCCTTGGGCGGAGTTGGAAGTGACTCTAGAGGCTTGCACAGGGCAGGGCTCTTGCGTCCAGGGCAGAGGCTCCTTCCAGTCCAGCAGTTTGGGGCAAAGATATACAGATATGCTGTAGCACGGGGCGTGAGGGTCTGTCTTTCAGGATTGTCAGAGGGAGTAGGTTGGAGGTGTAACTCACTCAGGAGCCTGTGGCGTGTAGGATGAACCATTCTGTTCTCACAGGGACATTGAGGCAGGGGTGAAGGCGCTCTGGGGTTCTTCCAGTCCAGCTGGAGGTGCGCTCCCTGCTGAGGACAGAGTAGGATTAGGGGAGAGGGGTGCAGTGGTCCCCTTTTCCGGGCACCTGCTCAGGGTGGCAGGGGTTGGTGGGCTGGTCCGCCCATCCTTGTGACATCCCCGTCGCTGGTGTGTGACGACCATTCCCGACAGCGAGACTCTCACTTGGGTTTGGCACTCTCGCACAGAGGCACTCGCTCTGCTGAACAAGTACAGGTCTGTCCCGGCATCTGGGGGCTTGGTCTCCCCGAGCCAGTGAGCAAGTTCCTCTTTTATCACCTCGCCCTGTGGTCTTTGCCCAGCCGGTCAGGGTGCCCGAGGTCCCTGTCGACACACCTGCGGGTGCCTGCCAGTGCCAGCCAGATGCCTGCTGGGCCAGGTGGGGTGTGGGCATTCCCGGGCGGGTGGCCCTGGGCTGGGGAGGCCCTTCTTGCCGCTAACACTGGCTGTTCTCCTGCCTCCACAGATGTGTCGTTCGGGACGCCGCCTGGGTACGGCTGTGCCGCGGACCGGGCTGAGGAGCAGCGCCGGCATCAGGACGGGCTCCCCTACATCGATGACTCACCCTCTTCCTCGCCGCACCTCGGCACCAAGGGCAGGGCCAGCCGGGACGCTCTGGCCTCGGGAGCCCTGGAGTCCACAAAAGGGGTGAGTGCCAGGGCCTGGGGCCGGGGGTGGGGGCAGGTACGGGTGACAGAAGAGTTCATGGAAACTCCTCTCTGGGTCCTCCGTTGGAGCCCAGAGACCGCCTGCTGCCTGGAGCAGGGTGGTGGTGACGGTGTTGAGTGTGGCAGCCCTGGAGCCGAGCCCTGAAGAGGCGGAGGCTGATCCGGCAGCGGTGCTGAGCCTGGCGTGTCCTGGCCTTTCCTTTCCTCTCTCTACCCTCACGGTGGCACTGCGGATGACCTCTCGTCCCATTCAACTAGGATTTCTCTGGAAGTCTTACCTGATCCATCATTAATAACCCCTCTGTCGTCTCTAGCTTTTATTTGGTTTGTTTCTTGGGTATTGGGGTAACACGCAGCGGTGCTCAGGGCTTATTCTTGACTCGGTGCTCAGGGATCACTCCTGGTGGGATCAGGGGACAACAATATGGGGTGCCAGGACTCGAACCTGGGTCAGCCTCTTGTAAGGCAAAATGCCTCACCCGCTGTACTTCCACTCTGGCCCCATCTCCAGCTGCCCTCCCCACCCCCGCAGTGCTACAGGACTCCAAGGCCCCTTCCTGTCACTGCTGTCCAGTCATGCAGCGTTTCTCAGGCCCTAAGGTCCAGGGGTCCCCCAAGCCACTCCCGGCACCACTGGGCGGGAATGAGGTCCTGGGCCTTGAACTCTGGACAGGCAAGTCATGTCCTCTAATTCTGTGAGCTGTCTCCCTTCTCCCCGCTCCCCACTCCCCTCCCCCCCAGATGCCTCCACTCTAAAGGCCCGGGTTTGAGGGTGCTTGGCGGGTGCTGAGCTTGCACCTCTCTGGCTATGGGACTATCCTGAGACATTCCTGGAAGTGTCACGGCAGTGAGGAACTCAGTCAACTCTCCTGGACTCCTGAGTGCCGACTGCTCGGGGGCGGGCAGGGCAGTGGGCAGAGCCCAGGTCATTATCGACCCTCCCCTTACCCCCACCTCGATCTCAGCGCAGGGTTCTGTGGGAATATCTGACACTAGGCTGGACCCTTGGGCTCCCAGCAAGTCCTGAGGGTTCCTGACAGACTCCGTGGTGTCAGGGTTGCCTGCTAGTGCGTTTTCTCCTTGCACAGCGTCTGCAATCCCCGACCAGGACAGAAGCCCAGGCAAGGACCAGCTGGCACATAACCCTCCATCCCTGAGGCGGGATGAGGATGTGCAGTAAAAAGGCCTTAGAGGGCTGGGGAGGTAGAGCTGTGGGAAAGGCACTTGCCTTGCAGGCGGCTGAGTGAGGTTTGATCTCTAGGATGCCCCAAGCCCCACCAGGAATGATCCCTGAGCACCACCAGATGTGCACCTCCTTGGCGGAAGGACTTTGGAGACACTACGAAGAGGAGCAGGCTGTGTTTAGAGCTGCAGTGGATGCTGCCCGGCCTCCCTGGCACCACGGGCCCACAGAGAGGGAGGCCCTGCTGTTGGGAAGCTGGGGCAGGGCTGTAAGCTAAAACACAATTCTTTTTTATCAGTGTCTGAGGAAAGGGGCAAGGGTCTGGGTACCACCTCCACCTGGCATCCTGTGGAGAGCGGAAGCAGAGTGGTCAGTCCAAACGGAGGCCCTGAGTGAACTTCCTGCCAGTGACCTGCCCCTTCAGGTATAGTTGGCGAGCAGGAAGCTGACAGAGCTGAGCAGACCCTCGAGTTCTGTATCTGCAATGCGCAGTATGACCTGGACTGATCCCACAGTTACCCTCGCCTGCTGGGCCCACCCCCCACCATGCCAGCGTGGGGCAGGTGTGGGCCTAGTGTGACCCGAAGGGGGAACTCGCCATGCTGTTGTTGTTCCACCATTAGAGAGCGAGACAGCCCTGTGCCAGGAGTCGCCTGCGGGCATGTCGGGGGCCTGGACACAGCTGCTGGGGTGTGACCTTGTCAGTGCACCCAGGAGTGCTCCCATCACTCCCCCAGTGAAGGTCAGCAGGGTGATTGTTGCCTATGACTCAGCTCAGCCAAGGGACATGGTGCTGGGCTTCTGTCCACGCAAGAAGGATTGTGGCTGCCCTCATCGCTCCTTGTGAAGTCAAAAGAACCAGGTGTTTGGGGGCAGACAGGAAGTTCGTGCCCTGCGTGCTGGAGTCTCGTGCTGGCCCCCAGCACCTGGCGCTGGGTAGAATCTAGCTGGCCCCATCCTCTGCTCTCTGGGCTGCAGGGTGGTGCCCAGTCGCGTTGCTGATGGAGTGTAGTCTCTGCCTGAGAGGAGGGAAGCATTCCTTGGTCCCCCACCTGGCTGGCCACTCCCAATCAGGAGTCCTCCGGTCCCCGACTTCATGAGCAGGGGTTTCTGCTCTGGTCCCTGGTGCAAACGGTATCATTCCCCCTACTATTCTCGGCCCCAGGAGGGCACAGGTGTGCCTGCTGCTCACTCTCATGCTAGAGACTCAGTTCTTGCTCCTTTCTGCCTGGCTGACGGCTGGCAGTTCCCTTCCGCTAGGTCCCTCCATCAGCACTTTCTGCCCCGTTCCACCGTATACTCATTGTCACTGAATAATCATCACATCTTGCTTTTGCCAGTATCCTGGCCCGGTTGTTTCTTTAAAAAGTGCCTCATGGCTGAGTCCAGGTTTGCATGTGCGGCTCGGGTTCAGTCTCAGCACCACATGGTCCCCTGAGCACTGAGCTGGGAGAAGCCCCTGAACACCGCCCAGGTTTCCAGAACCCAACCCCAAAAAATCACCCACCCACCCCCAATTCTTTCGATAATGGTTGCATCCACTTGGCGGGGGCAGGGGGAGGGGAAATTTGCCATCGCGAAAAATACCTGTGAAAATTATGCAGTGAAATATCGTTCCCACTTGTTTTTAATCAGCTCTTTCAGCCTCAGCATTTGTGTTGCTTGGCCCCTCCCTGCCCTTCCCTCAAAATGAGTCCCGCTCTGGCCCTCCCTGGCCTGCCTCTCTTCCCGCCTGCCCGGCCCTCACCACCCCGCCCCTCCACGGCCCCCTCCAGGAGCAGCCTGAGGAAGGATAGAGAGAGGCCTTCCTTCCAGATTGCTGCTGCCCTTTTCCAGCTGCCCTTTGCTTCTGGACACCGCCCCCTCCCCCCTTCCCCCCCACCCCACAGGCTCCCGGCCCTCGCAGCTCTGACTGGCTTCACGTGTTCTCTCCAGAACTGGCATTTGCACGAGGCCGGGTTATAAATAGCCCTTCCCTGCCTTGCCCCGTGCCTCCCTCTGCTCTCTCCCCTCCGACGTGGGGCTGGCCAGTGTCTGCGCCTTCCCTGTCGGATGCAGGGACACCACCACCGGCAGTGTCCAGGGCTCGGGAGAATAAGCTTAGTCCAAGTTGCAGTGTCTGCACACCCTCCCCCCCAGTCTTTGCCCTAGCCGGCCCACCGGAGCAGGGAGAGCTGGACTGGGCGCCATCCTGCCGACCTTCCAGCTCGTGGGTGGGATGGAGACACAGTACCACTGCTGCCACTGCCTCTCCGCCCCAGCACGCACAGCAGCGGGATTGTTCTCCAGGCGCGAGCAGGGCTGGGTGGGTGGCTGTCGCGGACACCTCGTCCCTGGCTCGGGGTGGGAGGCTCATGCTGTGTCAGCGGTGAGCCACTTCCGCGTGTCGTCGGAGAGCTGCGCGGAGAGAGGGCAGCTCACTGTGTGCCAAGGGCTACAGCCCAGCTGACCGAAACCTCAGCCTTCCCCCACAGGCCTGCTCATCTCTCAGAGACGGGATCCCCAGCGATGCTGTCAGAACAGGGACCCGGCCGGGACTTCTGCCCCCTCGGCACTTAGTGTCTCTTTGGAGGCCACCCGTGTGTGGGGGATGGGCCGTCTCACAATCAGGCTTCTGCCTGTGACCTTCCCTCCCAGCATGTCTCGGGTCAGGGGTGCCCTCTGGGGTGGGACCCAGCTGTCCTGGGGATGGTTCTCAGCTAAGATCTTGATGACTATGCCCACATGTACATGTGTGTCCATGTGTGTCCACGCCTATAGACACACAGGCCTGCCCCTTGTCAGCAAGACTCATGGCAGGGGGCAGTTGCCTAGGACCAGGGCAAACCTGACTCTAGAACCAGGTAACCCCCCACACAGTGTGTCCTTCCTGCTGGCCTGGGGCCAGCAAGGTTGGAGCCGTAATGGGGTGTCCAGACCGCAGAAATACCGTGAGGCCTGGGCGTTTCTCAGCTCCTCCCTGACCCTCATGGTTCTTACCTGGTTGTGATTTGTCTCCATCTGCAGACATGTGACTGTCACTGCTGGGGGCTGGGGCGTTGACATTGGCATCTGGTGGATGGAGACCCAGAGTGCCACTTGACACCCTCCAAGCAGGGGCTTCCCCATCAACATCCAGCCCTAGAGGTCGCAGTGACGGGGGCCCAGCACATGCTTCCCCTCAGTACTCTCACCAGAGGGCTCCAGTCCCACCACCAGGGGGCCAGGGGCCATGTCACATAAGCCCGTGGGCTGGTGAACATTGTTGGAATGAGCAGGACTGTTCCCTCCACTGCCAGGGACCTGGGGCTTACGGCGCCCGCTGCCTTCCAACCACGATAGTTGGTCCTTTGGTGCAGGGCTCGGCAGAGGAGCACAGCCTGGGTCCTGTGAAGAATTTGGGCCAGGAGTACACTGTGGGGCTAGCCAAGCCCTCATACACGATTGCTGTCCTGTGGCCAGTGGTCCTGGAATGAGGCAGCACACGCCCAAAAGTCACACAGCAGATGGCCTTGGCGATTTCCTGGGTGGCTGTAATATAGTCACTGACTCAGTAGCTTAAACTGCAGCCGTGGAACTCTCACAGTTCCAGAGACTGGACCTCCCTAATCAAGGTGCCAGCAGGGTTGGTTTTTCCGGAGGTTTCTCTGTGACTCAGAGCAGTGTTTCCACAAGTGAGGGACCCCCTGGGAGGTGCTGAAATGATGGGGTGGCAAGAGGGGCAGTTGGAAATGGTAGTAACCTTGGGTGCAAACGAAGGTGCTTTCTGTGTGTTTGTCTTGTTTTCTTTTGGGGGTACACCTATCAGTGTTCAGGACTTGTCTGTGCTCAGGGGTCACTCCTGGTGGGCTGAGGGGATCAACTGGTCTGAGGGGAAGGAACCCCACCCAGGTCAGCTGTGTGCAAGACAAGTGTCCTACCACTGTCCTCCCTCTCCAGCCGCATCCATTTGTTCTTTTAAAGAAGGTAGATTTCCAGAGTGGGAGGGATATGGCTGCACTGAATGATTTTTTGTTTTTCTGAAAAGGGAGAACTAGGCCAGGTAAGTTTGAACCTCTGGCCTAGAGGTGTGCATCTTCTTTTTGAAGCTGTTGAAATAGGCTTGCTCTTCAAGCCATGCTCTCCCTTGAACACAGATTCTGCGTGCTTGTCTCTGTTCCTTTGCTCACTTACTTCCATACACGAGAAGTCTGTGTTCTCTCTTGAACACCTATTTCCCTCTTTCTCTCCTCTTCCAAGCAAATTTCGTTTAATAAAAACTACCTTGAAATAAAAATATTGACATACATTATATTTTAAGTATGTAGCATGGTGGCACTATGCCTACACACACACACACGCACACACACATACACACATATATATTGCAAAATGAATACTATGATAAGTCTAGCTAATACCCATTGCCACGTGGATGCAAATATTTTCTTTTTGTCAGGAGAACTTTTTAGATCTATTCTCTTGGCAACTGTCAGATCTGCAACACAGTGTTATTAATTTTAGCCCAGGTTCTCAAGTTAATGACTTGAAGAAAGAACCCAGCTGACATGGAGTGAAATGAGTCTTTTGAGGGTGTGCTTTTGTTAGATGTAATTTCCCAATTTCCCGGAACTTCTGCGTTAGCAGACTCACCGTGTATCAGAAGGGTCCCCATTACATCTTCAGGACTAAGTTTGTAACTAGTGTGCTCAGGCTTCTAATCTCTACTTACTAAGGACACTGGTCCTATTGGTTTAAGGCCTGCCCTAATGAGGACTTCTTTTTATGTTTTGTATTGTTCTGTGTTTGGGTTTTGGACCATACCTGGTATTGTTCAGGGCTTACTCGTGGCTCTGTGCTCAGGGATCACCCCTGGTAGGACTCAGAGACTGTATAGGGAGTTGGCTGCCTGCAAGGTGCACATTTGACCCTCTACCATCTGCCCTAGGACATTTTAACTTCGTTATCCCTTAGAAGACCCTCTATCCCAGAGGGACTGGAAGGCGGGCACCAGCCATGGAGACTTGACCCCGACCCGTCTCCAGGAGGCTCTGAAAGGACATGGTATCCTAGGATAACATAGTGGTTTGTCCTTTCAAGGCTCCCCCTTCGTCTTTTGGAGGCAGAGGCAATGGTGTCTCACTCAACTTTTAGTGGGGGAATGGATGGGAAGGACCGCTTGCCCACCCAGGAGAGGGTCATCTTTGGCAGGGGTAGGGGCCCTGAGCTTGGGGGCCGGGTTCCCCTGGAACAGGTGGCCGTAGTCCCTATGGCCAGGAACAGGTGTGCAGAGGAAGGCAGTGCCACCTGGCCTGTGCTCTGAAAGTCAGTGGCAGCAGCAGAGGCTGCGGGCAAGGAGTGGGGTGCCATGGAAAGAGTCAGGGTGGTCCCATGGGGGTCCCTGACAGTCCGTCTCCTCCTTTCTGGGAAGCCTCTTCGTGGTTACGGCTTTTCTGGGCAGCATTTCAGATCAGCAGACTGGTGACTGCTGGGTCTTCGGTGCATCCCACACAGGCCTTCTTGGGAGGCCTGTCCTCAGGCTGCCCGGCCAGCCCTCCCCGCCCAACCGACCATCTGTAGCCCCCTTCTCTTCTCCTCCTTTCTCCCGCAGAGTGAGCTGGACTTGGAGAAGGGCCTGGAGATGAGGAAGTGGGTCCTGTCCGGAATCCTGGCCAGTGAGGAGACCTACTTGAGCCACCTAGAGGCGCTGCTGCTGGTGAGGAGGGGGCCAGGGTGGTTGGGGGCGGGAGGCCTGGGGGCACACTTTCCCCTCAGGTTCTGGCTCCTGGGTTAGCTTTTGGATCCCAGTGCCATTGACACGCTTGCAGGAATGTCAGAACACCCCCACCTCTGTAGTAGGGGACCCCTGCAAGAGGCAGTGGACAGCAGCCCAAGCTTTGGGTGCTCTACCAAGGCTGGCTTTACATTGTCTGCGGTTTTTAATTTACTGTTTTTGGTTTTGGTGGTGGCTGGGGAGTGTCACTCCTGGTGGTGCTCAGAGCTTTCTGGGGCTGGGTCTCACGCCCAGAGCTCCTGCATGCATAGCATCACTGCAGCCCTCGCCAGCCCTAAATTTGGGGCGTTTTTTTTTTTTTTTTGGTTTGTTTGTTTTTTTGGTCATATCCAGCGATGCTCACGGGTTACACCTGCGTTGCACTCAGGAATCATTCCTGGAGGTGCTCGGGGGACCTTATGGGGTGCTGGGGATCGAACCTAAGTCAGCTGCATGCCAGACAAACGTTCTACCCATTGTACTATTGCTCTGGCCCCTAAATTTGCATCTTTCATGGAACTTAAACATGAAAGCACTTTGTCCGTATGTCCATGCCTTCCTGCCACGCATCTGGGAAGTGGCGAGCCTCTCGCTCGTGCCCTCTTGCAGCCCATGAAACCTTTGAAGGCCGCCGCCACCACCTCTCAGCCAGTGTTGACCAGCCAGCAGATCGAGACCATCTTCTTCAAAGTGCCTGAGCTCTACGAGATCCACAAGGAGTTCTACGACGGGCTCTTTCCCCGGGTGCAGCAGTGGGGTCACCAGCAGCGCGTGGGTGACCTCTTCCAGAAGCTGGTGAGTAACTCGGGCTGGGAGCTCACCTCCTGGGTGACAGCAGCGCCTGCGGGGACCCTGGGTAGGTCTCAGTGCATCCCACGCCGCAGGGCGGCCCCCTGGCTAGAGGGGACCCCTTCACAGCGCCCTTGCTGGACCCAACACAGTAGTGGTAACACTGACTTCCTTTTCTCCGCCTACTTTTCTGACATGGCTCCATTTTATTCAAGGTTTCCAGTGTTCAGACTGGCCCCTGCCCAACTGCCCTTTGATCAAAGAGATGTGGCATGACTTTTGGGGGAAAGTCATGAAGTTGGGGCAAAGGTGGAGCGAGGGTTACTATACGGTATTTTCTGCAGCTGCCTAGATTAAGAGCTCTTGAACTGCTTGGAGATTTAAAAATTGTGTGGGTGGGGGCTCTAGCTATAGTACAGCGGGTAGGGCATTTGCCTTGCACGTGGCTGACCCGGGTTTGATTCCCAGCATCCCATATGGTCCCCTGAGCACTGCCAGGAGTAATTCCTGAGTGCATGAGCCAGGAGTAACCCCTGAGCATCACTGAGAGTGCCCCAAAAAGGAAAAAAAATTGTGTGGGGGAGTGGAGACTTGTTTGATGAAGACGAAGGTGGTGAGAATTGTGCCTTTGAGCACCCCAGGAAGGCCCTGGAAGGGAAATGGTGACAGTGGGTGAACCCTGAGACCCTTAGCTCCTGCTCACAGCTATTTTAGGCATCTGGAGGCATATGTAAACTGGAGACTGGCATGGGCCAGCAGGAAGATGGAGGGAGAGGTGCCCTGTCAGACTGAGTGTGCGGATGGTGTCACCTTGGGCTGTGTCCCAGGTGGGCTTGCTTTATACAGGTGGCTCATGGGACAGCCTGGCACTGTCATGGGGTCTGGTTCTTGAGTAGCAAGGTCCTGACTTTGATACGGAGTCCCAGTGGATCCAGGGTGCCTCTGTCACCCGGGCTGCTACTGTGCTCACCTTGTGCAGGTAGTTGGTCATTTGTCTGGACCATGCCCTTGAGCTGTCTTCTCTGGGTGGGTGGGGTGGGGGAACGACACTCCAGGCAAGGAGCCTGCTCCCTGCAGCCCTTGCTCTCAGAGCCCAGAGCACATGAGTAGAATAGGATGACAGAATAATGATTCCTGAAAGGGCTCAGTGGGTTCAAACCGGCCAGGTCTGGCAGAGATGGCAGTGGGTCTCACTTTTTGCGAGCCAGAGGCAGGTCTGGGCCTCTCTCTTGACCCCTTACACAGGGCCCAGGGGGAGCCAAGGATTTGCCTTTTAATGGAATCAATAGCATAAGTCTCTGGTATGTGTTTAACTGAGATGTGAGTAAAGGTAAAATGTATCTGAAAGAAAAATACCTATCAGAGGCCTGAGGAGGAAGGAGAAAACTCTCAGATGGGAGCTGTGGGATCGATGTTTTGTTTTCCAGCATTTGGGAGTGTATTGCATGAAAAGGAGAAGGAGATTCTCTTCCGTACCTATGCGAGAGAACAGGCAATCTCTTAGGGCAGACTGTGGGGATGTGGGGGATCAGGTTGTACTCTAAGAGCCTGGTACGTGCTGCTCTGTGTGTGTGTGTGTGTGTGTGTGTGTGTGTGTGTGTGTGTGGTGCTATCAGTGCCCCCCTCCATCCTGTTGTGTGTGTTTGCATGTGCTTGATGCTGTCAGTCATGCTTGGTGCTATCAGTCGTGTGTGTGTGTGTGTGTGTGTGTGAGAGAGAGAGAGAGAGAGAGAGAGAGAGAGAGAGAGACCATCCTCAAAGAGTAACTTGAATACACTTGCAGGGCAGGCCCAAATAATGGTGCTTCTTCTACCTGAGTCCAAGGTGGCCTGGGTCTTGCGATACACAGGCTCTTTCCCTACAGTATCCCCTGTCCCCAGGGGCAAGGCAGGTGGGGGTCCTCCCTCCACCACCAAGCTGTCAGGAACCTGCCAAGAGGAACTTGGCCCCCAGCCCTTCTGGGCCTCCCACACACCCAGCTGGCCCCGGTCAGCTCCAGCCTCGCCCTGGCTCCTGCCTGGACCCGAGCCAAGGTTCCACTCTGAGGTGTGGCTTCCTATTGGCAGCCGCCACCCGGCCCTGTCACGGGCTGTGGACGCACTCGGCTCCCAGATTCCAGGCTGCGGCTGAGATGCAGGGGGCACGGGAAATGCCTGTTTTGTTCAGATTCTCAGCACCTCAGACCCCCTGGCCCAATGGATTCCCGTGCCCCTGTTTCTCCGTGTGTGTCAGGTTGGCCTGGCTTTGAACTCGGTGGATTTGACTCAGCCTGCCATCTCCCTCGGGTCAGAGGATTGTCTTTTGAGGCGCTGCCAGCACTTCTGCCCTGAACAACATTCTGAGCTCCCTCAGAACCCAGGCACTAAAAATGTCTGACTAACACGAGGATTGAGAGATTCCCTGGGTTCTCCGGTCCCTTGGACTCTCCTTCATGCTCGGTCTGGGGTAGCAGGAAGACGGCGGGAGAGGTGGGGCTGCCGTGGGCAGAGGTGCCCCGTCAGACTGAGTGCGCAGGTGGTGTCACCTGGGGCTGGGTCCCCAAGGACAGACATTGTCCCCGCCCCTGTCCCTTTCAGACTAAGCAGAGCATGGTCAGCCAGTGTTGCTGCTCTTTCCCGGAGGTTCCCAAACTTACTTGGCATACTACCCACTATTCAGGAAGGAAAACAATCAAAATGAATCAGCACCCTGGTGGAAGTTCTGCCTTTTTTTTTTCTTTACTTTTTTGCTTTTTGGGTCACACCCATCAATGCACAGGGGTTACTCCTAGCCCTGCACTCAGGAATTACTCCTGGCGGTGCTCGGGGAGCCATATGGGATGCTGGAAATCGAACCCGGGTCAGTGGCGTGCAAGGCAAACACCCTACTTGTGCTATCGCTCCAGCCCTGAGGTCTGCCATCTTTAAGCTGACCAGCAGAAAGCACTCTCATGGCACCTGAGGCTACCGTGTCCACCCCCACCCCCACACACTTAATCAGTCCAGCAGCCCCAGGGGAGTACTGCCCACTCCACTTTGGTCTCTATCAGATTCTTTGTTTTTTGTTTCTGTTTTTTTTTGGGGGGGTGGGTTTCACACTGAGCAGTGTTCAGGGCTTTCTCCTGGCTCTGCACTGAGAGATCACTCCCAGTGGGTCTCAGAGGGCTCAAACGACCATGGGGTTCTGAGGGGCAGACCCAAGTTGGCTGAGTGCAAGGCAAGTGCCCTACCTGCTATACTGTCTCTTCGGCCCCACGGGCTCTGTGGGACTTTACAGCTGAAAGTGTGTAAGGACTCCAGGAACCTGATGTCCTGTCCCAGCTGTGGCACCTCTGCTTGCCCAGGGGACCAGTGAGCTGTGTGTGAGCGCAAGAAAGCCTAGGTCACACCATGCCCTGGCTCCCCTTCCGGTGGCAAATCAAGGGTTAATTGTCACCTCCAGCTCAGGGGGTTGTTTCTGGCTGAAATTTTATCAGCTCAAGTTTTCATTTTTCTGGTCATTTCAAGCTTCCATAAGCTTTACAGCAGTTCCACAAGATTACAAAGAATTTTTGTGTGCAAGATACACCGATGATAATAACATTTTGCCAGATTTGCTCTTACCGTTTGCTTTTATCCCCTTTCATGTGTACACGAGACTTTGTGCATATACACATACACACAACCAGAATAGCTGGAGAAAGTATTGCAGATATCCGCCCTTTTACCCCCAAATACTTCGCTGTGTATTTGGTAAGGACAATGATGTGTCCTGGGCCAGAGAGATAGTAGGGCACTTGCTTTGCACACAGGTTTGTGGCCCAGGTTTGATTCTCCGGCATCCCATGTGAAACACCGCCAGGAGTGATTCCTGAGTACAGAGCCAGGGGTAACCCCTGAGCATTGCTGGGTGTGGCCTCAAAACCGAAACCAAAAATGTTGAAAAATCAGAAGAACAAGGATGTGTCCTTCCAAATCTATAGCATAACTACATATTCAGGACACTTCAGAGTGATATGATATTATTATGTAGTGTATAGTTTACTTACAAATTCCTCCCACGTTAGTCATCGTAGTCTTTACAGTCATTTTCATTGTCCAATTTAAGAGTCAGTTCAGGCCCATCCTGCCCTTGCTTTGTTTTTTTCTCTCTGATCTCTACTGATTCCTTGACCTTTGCTTGTCTTACATGACTTTGACCTTTTTTTTTTTTTAAGACACAAGCAATTTTGGAGTTATCTGATATTTCCGCAGAAATAGGTTTAAACTCTGCACTTTGGGGCAAATAAATGGTGTGGCAAGGATGCAGTGTTCTCACTGCCTCCTAGTGGAGGCAGATGATTTCCATTTTACCATAATCTATGATGCTCCATATTTGTTTGGGGGATTTTTGCTGAAGATGTGGAAATGAATTGCTTGGAGCTTCTCTAAAGCCAGCCAGAGACATGAAATCCATGGAGATGGAGCTGGAGAAGAGGCGGTGATAGAAGGAGGGGCTTTCCTCTTTTGAAACCCATTTCATTTTGTTTATTGAAGCTGCCACAGTCTGGGCTCTTTCTGTATTAATTTTCTTTTAACTTTTTTATTAAAAAAAGTTTAATAAAAACTACTGAGTTTTTATTGAGGTGGTCACTGAGTCAAGTTCTGACGGGTTGTAACTATCGATGAAATGATATGCTGAAGCCCTAACTCCCATCGCCTCAGAATATGGTTGTATTTGGAGACAAGGTTCAAAGAAGTGGCTGGGTTACCATCAGGACTTAGGGGTGGGTCCACATCTAATATGGATTTAGATATTTATGGATTTAAATAGTTTTTTTAAATTAGCGGTAGGGCGTTTGCCTTGCACGCAGCCAAGATGGCCGACCCGAGTTCGATTCCTCCGCCCCTCTTGGAGAGCCCGGCAAGCTACCGAGAGTATCTCGCCCGCACGGCAGAGCCTGGCAAGCTACCCGTGACGTATTCCATATGCCAAACACAGTAACAACAAAGTCTCCAATGGAGATGTTACTGGGCCCTCTGGAGATGATCAACGAGGGCCTTTTACTTTTTTTTACTTATTTAATTGAATCACCGTGAAATACATAGTTACAATGTTGTTCTTGACTGAGTTTCAGAAATACAATGTTAAAACACCCATCCCTTCACCGGTGCACATTTCCCACCACTAATGTTCTCAGTTTCTCTCCTGCCCACTATCCTCCCTGGCCAGCCCTAGCAGCCTGCCTCTATGGCAAGCTACTGAGAGTAGCATACCCGCCTATAGGCCTGACTAGGAACACCTGTAAAGGTGATTAGAGGCTGACCCAAAAGCCTCCATCCCTCTCGGAGAGCCCGGCAAGCTACCGAGAGTATCCCGCCTGCACGGCAGAGCCTGACAAGCTCTTCGTGGTGTACTCGATATGTCAAAAACAGTAACAATGAATGGTCCTCATTCCCCTGACCCTGAAGGAGCCCTCAATATGTCATAAGGCTACACTTGCACTTGACAGGGATGAATGGAGACGTTACTGGGCCCACTCGAGCGAATTGAAGAACAATGGGGTGATAGTGATAGTGATAACTTTTTTATCGAATCACTGTGAGATAGACCCTTAAAAAGCTATTCATGATTAGATTTCAGTTTTACAGTATTCCAATACCTATCCCTCCACCAGTGTACATTTCCCAGCACCAGGGTCCCCAATTTCCCTCCCATCACCCCCACCCCCTGCCTGACTCTGTGTCAGGCACTTTTCTTCTGTCTGTCTGTCTGTCTGTCTGTCTCTCTCTCTCTCTCTCTCTCTCTCTCTGTGTTCTTTAAACAACAGAAATCCAGTTTCTCATAGTCTTCTCTTAAAAGAGGAGGGGAAGGGAGAGTCCACTTAGGACAGAGGAAGGACCACTAGGACAGTGATAGTTGGAAATGGTCACACAAACTGAATGCTGAAAGGTGGTAAAGTGATATGCATGATACCCTTTCAGTAGCAGTATTGCAAACCACAGGAAAATAAGAGAGACACAGACAGAAGAAAAGTGTCTGCCACAGAGGCAGGCTGCTAGGGCTGGCCAGGGAGGATAGTGGGCAGGAGAGAAACTGAGAACATTGGTGGTGGGAAATGTGCACTGGTGAAGGGATGGGTGTTGTAACATTGTATTTCTGAAACTCAGTCATGAACAACTTTGTAACTATGTATTTCACGGCAATTCAATTAAATAATTAAACAGATAGTATTTAAATCCATAAATATCTAAATCCATATTAGATTTGGACCCACCCCTAAGTCCTGATGGTAACCCAGCCACTTCTTTGAACCTTGTCTCCAAATACAACCATATTCTGAGGTGATGGGAGTTAGGGCTTCAGCATATCATTTCATCGATAGTTACAGCCCATCAGAACTTGACTCAGTGACCACCTCCTCAAAGAGACCTTCCTGCCATGGGATGCAAAGCAAGCCTGGTATTCACAGCCCCTGTTTTAGCGATTGTTGTACTGTGTTGTTTGTTCACATGCTTCCCAAGCATCTCTCCTGCTAGGTTACCACACTGAGTGAGTCAAAGCTGGGGTGGCAGTGCTTAAAGCAGGGACCTTTTTGTGTGTGGGAGATGCTCAGTGACCAGGGCGGGGTGACCATTGTACAGTGGTGAAGGTTGCAGAGTCACTTACTGGGATGCTTGTCAAAGAAGGTGCCGGCCAGGCCTTCAGAGGCTGCTGCTGCCTCCCCAGGTAGCTCCAGGCCCTTCCAGCAATGCCCCGAAGGAATGGGACCAGAGACCCGACCGTACTGGGGCTGCCTGGCTGCCTGGCTCACCATTTCTATTTTTTTTAACATCTAACTTATTTTAATTTAATTTTTATAAAGTAGTTTACAATATTGATTACATTTAATATTTGAACACCAATCCTACCACCATTATACCTTCCCACTATAATATTTTGGTTTTTTTTTTTTTTTTGCTCACCATTTCTGAGATTGTCATCTGGAGAAACAAAATTTAGGATAATTTGAATACATTTAAATGAAATTTTGGTTCAACAGAGAATTGCCAGAAGCAATGCAAGCCTTAAGCCTCTAGCTGCAGGAGGCCCAGTCATGGGGTCTCTGGACAACCCCCTTACCTTCCTTGGACCTGAGTTTATTTCTCCCTCCCTGTTTCTCACGTGGTTCCCAGAGCTGGTCGAGGCAGTGCCCCTGCGCCCCATGGACAGCGGTGCTCAGCTGGGCCTCTAAGCATGAGACTAAGTGAGACCATCTATTGATGCCTAACAACAAGCAGAACAGGAACTCTCGCCTTACAGCCAGCAGATCCCTCCCACCAGGTGTGCCTGCAGTGTGACACCTGGGCCCCTTGCCAGGTGTGGGCCAGGCTCAGGGGCGGGCAGCCAGACTGCTGTCGCATGTGTCCCTTAAGGGATGCGCCATGAGTGGACGCCTGTAGCTTCCCCATGTGGTCTCATCTGCCGTGACTGTCCAGTAACCAGGTTGAGAACGTCCCACCGGTACAGAAGTGGATCTCTGCGCTCTCTGGCAGCCCTAAACTTTCACCATCACGAGTGGCACCACGGAAACGAGCGGGGTGGGAGGATTGAGCAGCCTCGGAAGGGAGCGGTACCTGCCTGGGGTCGTGAGTCACTTCTCACTGTCGATTCCGGCCGGGAAGTGTGCTCTTTGTGGGGGAGAGGAAGCCAGTGGGAGGCAGCTGCGCGGGAGAGCTGAGCTCTGCATCTCCGCACTGGCACCTGCACCTGGGCCCCGGCCAGGACTCGCTCGGCTCAGGAGCCCGGGAGCAGCGGCACCTGCCCTGCACCTGTCCCACTCTCCTCTCTTCCCCCCTGCAGGCCAGCCAGCTGGGTGTGTACCGGGCCTTTGTAGACAACTATGGAGTTGCCATGGAAACAGCTGAGAAGTGCTGTCAGGCCAACGCTCAGTTTGCAGAAATCTCTGAGGTACGTGTGACAGGGCTTCGACGAGTGCACCCCTGTACCTCCCACAGGTGGGCTGTGGGCTGGTTGCTGAAAGACCGTGACCTGGAAGAATACAGTGCATCACATTGACATCCCAGTGTAAACCTCACCTCTGGGTTCCAGATCCTTCTGGGTTGGCTCTGTCAACCCCAGGGTGGCAAACTCTGTTGTCAGCAGACGGTAGGAGAACCCTAGGAAGCATGTTACATCCCTGCGGCCAGGACCAGGACCCGGGCCTGTTGGGTCCCCCAGTGTCCCCTGGCACCTGTGTGCATTCTGCCCAGTTAGCGCGATGCCTGCCTCCAGAGTCCTGAGGCTGACTCTGCACCTTGTTACCAGAGTTTGGGGGGTCAGGGGTTAGAGGGGTTTGTTCTGCTCTGTTCCTCCTCTGGTCTGGGAGCTGGGCAAGCCACGCTTGCCTTGAAAGCTGGGCTGGTATTACTCTCTTCTGTAGGCCCAGGTGGGGTGGGGCCCAGGCCGGGGAATAGGGATCAGTCTGGCTTTCACATGAGTTTCTGGGGGGCTGAAAGCCTCAACTGTGGGTGATAGCCAGAGTGGCCTCAGAAGAGACCCCAGGTACAGAGAGAACAAGTGGGTCTTCCCGGCACTGCTGGCTGTAGATGGGTGACAGTCCCTCCCTTCTGGGCCTGTCGTACATACACCTTGATGTGTCTTCACTCCTCATAAAGCTGAGTGCCTTCCCCATCAGGTGAGGATTCTGGGTGGGAAGACCCATGTGCCAAAGCAGAGCAGCATGGGAACAGGGAGGGAGTTGGGGTATCTCCCTGCCGGTGCCATCTGCTTGGCTTCTCCACCGATGCTCTCAGAAGGACCCAAGCTGCCCAGGCAGGCTGGAATGAAGCGGAAGGAAAAGGAAGCAGCCAACTGTACCAAAGTCCTGGGGGTTGTCCTGGGGTGGGGACAGGGGTCAGAATCACTGCCCAGGACAGGAAGAGGGAGACGACTGGTCTTTGATCTTCTCCCAGGACCCGTCCTAAAGAAGGTGTAAGTGGCATGGCTAGTGAGATGGGAGTTGTCCTTGTTAGGTTCTCAGCGCCCTAGTCTAGAGAGAACAAGAGTTACGTAGAAAGGGCCTTTGGAGTGGAGGGAATTTGGGGGAGGTGGAGTCAGACCAAGTTTGTAAGTTTCTTTGAGACAGAACTCCTAGGATGCTCAAATGCATGACTGTGTCCAGAGTCACGTGACCGAGGGGCTACTTCCCAGGCATGAGTGCGCAGGACTCCTGCATTTTAGAGTGCCTCGTGTTCAGCTCTCACACGCCCTCACGCCCTTCGGGAGCTGCTGAGGCAGACGTCTGGAAGAAGAGGAATCGCCATGAGGGCATTCATCTCAGAAAGGTTGATAGTGTGTACCATGAATGTAAAATGACATCGTTTCTTTCCTGTTTTGAAACGAGTTTTTACTGAACAAAATTTACTTGGATGTAGGATGGGGGGGCAAAGCGATAGTACAGTGGGTTGGGCACTTGCCTTGAACGTAGCTGACCTGGGTTTGATCCTTGGCACCACATATGGTCCCCGAGCAATACCAGGAGAAATCCCTGAGCGCAGAGATAGGAGTAAGCCCTGAGCACCACTATGTTTGGCAACAAAACAAAACAAAAAAAAATGTGAGGTAAGACAAAGAAGAAAAGGGAAACGTTCAAGAAAGAACACAGACCTCTCCAGAGTAGAAAGGAAAGAGAGCTACGTGTTCAGGGGGGATCGTGGGCTTGAAAGAACAAGCCGGATGCCATCTTTTTCATCTAAGTTTCCTGCAGCATGAAAGGTTGGGAAGTTAACTGGGAGCCCCCTGTTCTCTCTGCCAGCTTTTGTTCAGAAGCCTGGGGCTGGGCTCTGCTTGATGACTTCAGCCTCATAGAGTCCTTTCCTCCTTGTTTCCCTTTGTGTGACTGAGTGATGCTTTGACCCAGTTGTGTTCATCCACGACTTAACCCATCAGAAATTATTTTCGTTCTAGAAATCCAAGTGCCTAGTTTTTAGCAGTTGCGTTTGCCAAGTTGGGAGAGGGTCGGAAGGGGGTGGAATCTAGGGTGGGTCTCAGGATGGGTGGGCCTGCCTGTGCCATCTCCAGAGGTCATGCTCGTCCTAGCTATCGCCATCTGCATATTGTCTGGTTGCTCCAAAAACCAGTTTATTTTCTATAGGGAGGGCAGTAGGATTTGCTGAATTCTCCATGGCAGAGGTTCTTGGCCAAGGGATAATTATGACCCCCCAATAAGCCTGAGATATCTTTGATAGTCTGACTGGGCAGGAAAGGGAAGACTTGCTACTGAATTTGTGGGCATCGTCCAGGGATGCCGCTGACTGTCCTGTGGCACCAGAGGGCACACTTGTCATGAGACAGGATCCTGTTTTCGACCCCAAATGTTGGTGGTGCTGAGGCCGAGAAACTATCCCGGGTGATCCTGGGCATGCAGGGCTGGCCAGGTGTTCCCTTAGCTCCTCTTTTCACGCTGTGGCCCAGATGCACCCACAGACTTGTTCCTTGTGAGGTTCTTTGCAGTGAGAGAGGGGTGAGTTTTCTGCTGGCGGTGTTGGACTGTGGGACTTTTCTGCCACATCAGAGCATCTTCGGTTGTCCTTACAAAAGCCTGCTTTTCTCTTGCAGAACATGAGAGCCAGGAGCAACAAGGATGCCAAGGACCAAACCACCAAAAACTCTCTGGAAAGTGAGTTCTCAGGGCCGAGGCCTCTGCGTGCTTCTCTCTGGGTGGCCGCCGCAAGCATGGGGGAGAGGCTTAACAAACATGCTGCCCAGTTGGGTCACTCTCCCTACCTTTGCTTCTCCGGAACTTTAGTAGTGAGAGTAGAGAGACACAGGCCTGATGGGGTTGAAAGAACATGGTTGAGACCTGCTTGCCACCACCCAGGAAGAATGACAGGAGATAGCAGGTGCCCACAAACCAGACATTGACGGGTACTTTAGATACGATCGTTTTGTCTCCAAGGGCCCTATAAGGAAGATTTGGTTTTGTTGTGTTTTAGTTGAAAGAACAGGTCTCGAATGAAAGTAAGCCTGGAAACATTAGGTGATGGGCAGAGAGCATGAGGCCGGCCTTGTCTGGCTTTGCGTTCAACCTCCTTGTTCTGAGCAGAAGGTGAGGTGAGAAATGTCATCACTTCCCACTCCCAGGTATTAGCATGGATAGTTACATGCAAACGTGGCCTCGCCATCTTCTGAGCCTCGGTTTCCCTGACTGTACAGTGGGGATTGCAGAGCATGTCCTAGTCATGAGTCACATGGAAAAAAGGCTCCTGACATGTGAGAACATGTATTCAAGCATTTCTGCCTGTGCTGGGTTCGGGCCCACCAACCTCCGGGAGCAGTGGGGCCAGCCAAGAGCAGCTGGAGCTCTTTCTTTGTGGCCAGCTGCCTGCTGGGAGGCTAAGGACTGTGCTGGCTTCTGTGTCTCCTCCAGGGATGGGTGTTGAGAAACTGTCCGTCTGTTCCCGGGGCGCTGTTTGGGCCAGAGAGAAGGTCTCCCACCAGGGCTGTGCCCCCATTCGTCCTCCCCAGGGCCTTGGTGGACTTGACACCTCGGGCAGGAAGACCCTGAGTGATGGTTACCAGCCTTGTGGGCTGATGCCCACCGCACGCTCTGCACCCAGCATGTATTTGGCGTCACAAACTTAAACTTTTCAGGTCCAGCCTTTCAAGGACTCTGGGTTTTAGCCGTGGTGCTGAGTCTGCCCTTGTTACGGAGGAGCTGGGCCTTGTGGGGGTGGGCGGGCAGGTGGCGTGGCTCACCCTGCCTCTCTCTCCACAGCCCTGCTCTACAAGCCCGTGGACCGGGTGACTCGCAGCACGTTGGTCCTGCACGTGAGTCTCTCTGTCCTCAGTGGTCCGGGGCATTGCAGCCGCCCTGTGTGACCATCTGGGCCCTGGCCCTCTCCTCTTCTCTCCCTGGGGCTCTGGCCTTTGCTCTCTGGGGTCTGGCACCCACCACCTGCTTTGGCAGGAGCCATACATCTTTATTGAGGAGCAGAAATGCCACCTCAGAGGCAGGAGCGATAGTGTAGCGGGGAGAGTGTTTGCCTTTCATATGACCAGACCTGGGTTCAATCCCCAGCGTCCCATATGGTCCCCCGAGCTCACCAAGAGCGTTTCTTAAATGTCGAGCCCAGAGTAAGCCCTGAACAACCCCTGATGTATCCCCCTTCCCACCGCCCCTCAGCAGGAGGGAATGTGGCGGCAGGGCAGGTGTCTCCGGGCCTCTCTTCGGGACACCTGCTGGGGAGGCAGTGGCACAGTGGGCATCCCGCCTCACTGCACACGGCTCCATCAGCATCTGGGCTCAGTTTCCAGGAGCACGGACACCGGATCTGGGGGACCACTTCTAAGCCCTGCTGTCCCGGCCTGGGTGGAGGTCCCTCAAGGGGCGGTCTTCATGCTGAGAAGCCCAGCCCTCCCGCCCCATGACCCCATCCATGTGTATATTTAGAACAGGTTGTACATGCGTGTGTTTTTTTTTCAATTGCCACTAATTCACTAGAAGTGTTTGAAGTCTTCGTTTTCTTTCCCACTTCCTCCCCGCAAAGGAACCCCCCACCACGGTATTCTTTATGCATGTGCCAATAGATAAAGGAACTTCTTGAGATCATGTAGTTTCCTCAAGCTGTACCTTGTTCCCACTTTTTGATTTTTGACCTGTTTCTCACTTGGGTCCAAGCAGTTCTGCCTCATTCTCCGCTGAGCTGTGCAGTATTCCAAGTGGAGAGTTCCTGGCTCTCCTGCAGTTAGCAGAGGCAGGATGGTGGAACGGGGACCCTTTTGGGGTCCGTATCGTAGACTGTTCTATTCACTCGTGATTCGCTTCCCGGGAAACTGTGTGACCTCTGACCCCTGAGCCTCTTCCATGCCCGTTTGTGCTGCCCAGGGACTCTCTGCAGACAAAATTTGGGAGCTAAGGGGATTTCTCTTACCAGGCACCAGGGCACTGGTACCAAGCATGACCAGGTGCATTTCTGTTGGAGCAGGAGTCAGTATTCTCACCTTGTTTCCAAGGGGCACTCACCTCTCAAGGAAGGAAAAGCTAGGGAGGCCCTTGCCCAGATCAGTGCTCCTAGACCTGGACCAACTCTGCCCCCTAGGGGAGACTTTGGGTTTTGGCAAATGCCGATGAGGGAGTGCAGTGGGTGTCACTACCCTACTGGTCGTAGGACAGCCCCTGACTCGGAATGTCCCCTGTACCAAGGTGTGGAAGCCCGCCATAGAGCATGCCCCCAGCAAGGGCTCATGAGGGTATACTTAGGGCCTTCTTGTGAAAAGTGCTCCCACGAGCCCAGGCCCCTGGTGAGAGGTAGCAGGGCTTGCCCCGTGCAGGAGGGGGATGCCTGGGACCTCGCGCTCGCTCACTTGGTCTCCCAATCCGCTGCAGGACTTGCTGAAGCACACTCCCTCCAGCCACCCCGACCACCCCCTGCTGCAGGATGCCCTCCGGATCTCACAGAACTTCCTGTCCAGCATCAACGAGGAGATCACCCCCCGCCGGCAGTCCATGACCGTGAAGAAGGGAGAGGTGAGCTTGGGTGTGAACTTCATCTGGATCCACCGGAGTGTTTCTTGAACTGAGAGCAGTCAGTACTGGCTTTAAGGCTTCAGAGGAGGGGCAGGGGAGAGGGGAGAGGAGGTGCACTGTGCATCTGTGAGGTGACACTAGCTGAAGATCCCACCAGGCAGACTCTCCCCTCTGTCCTCCGCATGCCCTCCCACCATGAACAGGGTCCCCAGTGCATGTGTTCCAGCTGTGAGCCTTGAAATTCTCTTCGGGTTGGTGTAGACAGTTGCCCCGGGGGATTGAGACAAATCAGCTGCAGCTCTGATTTGCCCACCGGACCCGCCCCCCCCCCATAGAAATCTCTTTGCTCGTGGTCCCCCTTCCCTGCTGACCGGCCCTGGGAGGGCTCTGCGCGTCTGAGTAGGAATGGTAGTGCCTGGGCGGGGTGGCACGAGAAAGATCTGCTCCCCCTCTCATGTCTGGCTCTGCTGACCTCAGTGACATTTGCTCCATGAGAGTGATGGCTTGGGTACCTCCGCTGTGAGAAGGGGGGATAAGGCCTAGTGACCTCTGAAAGGTCATGGGTGTGACTCACATGTGCCTTCATTATGCCCTTTATTTCTGGCATGTGGTGATACAGATGACTTGGCGGTGGCTAGATCAGATCACGGGCTGATGCCCATCTCCTACCTCCATGCCCAGCTATTCCTGATACAGACCTTGCTCTCCAGTCAGTTCGTGAACCCCCATGCAGTGGAAAGGCCACTAGAGTGGCAGTCCCCCTCTTGAGTTTGAGATTGCCCTCTGTGTCCCGGCTGCGTTGAAGTGGGGTCCGCTTTTCTCTGCTGTGCGCCTGTCCTCTGCGAGAGCAGGACACAACGGCCTGGGAACCGCTGTGGGAAGTTGGGCTTAAAAGGGTCTTGAGACCTGTGAGAGTCACAAGCACAGGTGCAGGGTGAGAAATTTGTTTTGTTTGGGAGCCACACCCATTTTGTTATTGCTCTGGGCTTCCTCCTGACTTTGCGCTCAGGGATTACTCCAGATGGGGCTCGAGAGCCATATAGGGTACCAGGGATCGAACCCCAGGTCTGCGGCATGCAAAGCAGGCGCCCTACCCACTGGACTGTTGCCCTGCCCCAAGGGGTGACGCTTTTTGCCTTGAAGATGCCAGGAGAGAGGGCTGGCCGCTCCATGTTGTGTTACTTTCTATGCGAAATTGTAGCTGGGGAGGCCTTGGGCTTGGGAAATACCTGTTTTCCCCCTCATGCTTCCATTTCCAAATTTGGCATGTGACTTTGATGATGGGGAAAACGGGGAAAAGGCATGACTGCTGTGCCCTCCTGACCTGGGAAGGCAGAGATCCTTTTCTGTTTGCAACGCAGGAGACTGGAGGGCTTGAGCAGCAGCCACTGAGTGATTGGTCCAGGATGAGGTGAGGGCAGGTGTCCCCGGCACAGTGCGTGCCCGCAGCTAGATGGTTCTGTCCTCTCCCTGGCCCCTGTCTCTGGCCCTGGTGCAGAGCTCCGTGGAGGGAGGTCACTGCAGGGAGGAGGAGATGCCATTTCAGTCCAGCACAAGGTGGCTGCCAATTTATTTAGCTTTAGTTTGGGGGCCACCCCCGGTGATGCTCAGGAGTTACTCCCGGCTCTGCACTCAGGAGATACTCCGTCGTACTTGGGGCATCATACAGGAATCAAACCTGGGTCAGTTGCATGCAAAGCAAGTGCCTTATCCACTGTTGTGTTTCTCTGACCCCCCCACCGTTGTTTTAGACATAGGGACAGTCCCCTGCTTCTCCCTCTGGGAGCAGGTGCAGCGGCAGCTCTAGCTGTTTTCCCTTTCCAGGCAAGAAAAAGGTGGACACCCCAACATCCTGGATGTTGGGTGGTGTCCACTGTCTGCTCATCATATTCCCCTCCTGGGCCCTGCTGTGAGCCCAACCTGTCCACCTACCCCCGGCCTCCTCGTGTGGTCCCCTCATTTTTTCTTGCAGTTCTCACTGCTCCAAGGCTGTGTCTCCAGACAGTGGCCAAGGGCAGTTTTGGGTGGCTTTATTCTGTGACACTGAGCTGTGACCAGCAATCGCCCAGGAATGTGCCCTCCTTAAGCTCTCAATGAAGTGTCAGGACTGTGGGGGCCTCTGGCATGTTGTCCTGGCAGGCACCGTCCTGTGGGGTGATGGGCGAGAGCTCCTCCCTCCATGCATTTCACAGTTCACAGCTGTGTGTGTGTGTGTGTAGGCATGTGTCAGGGCAGAGGCAGGACGGGCTTCCCTTTTGTTTGTGGTCTGTCTGTCTGTCTGTCTGCTTCAACTCTGCCTTTGCCGCCCACCATCCCCAGTTCAGAATTGAGGTGAACTGGCCAATGCAATTTGGACATTTCGTTTCTCAAGGGGTGAGACACTTTTTGGAGCCATCTGCTGTTTTGTTTTTGTTTGGGGGGTCACACCCATGGGTGCTCAGGACGTAGTCCTGACTCTGCACTCAGGGATCACTCCTGGTGGGCTTGCGGGACCATATAGGGTGCCAGGAATCAAACCCAGGTCAGCTGTGTGCAAGGCAAGTTCCCTGCTCCTGAACTGTTTCTCCAGCCCCTTGGAGCCATTCTCTGTCTGGACTCCACAAGACCCTCGTGGAAGGAGACTGGCTAATGGACTGCCCTGGGCTGAGGACAGTCACGGGTGAGGCCCTGGAAGAGGTGGTGAGGCTCAGTTGAAAGGAACCTGCGTTTTGTGTTGGAGCTAAACGAGGTAAAGAGGCCGACCATATGGGCAGAGTTTTTCAGGGCTACTACAGAGAAGAAAGTGCCCAGGCCTGGGGCAAAATCCTGGCAGGGGTGGGGACCTCTGGTGCCCCAGGTGGGGGTACCCCAGCAGTGTTTCTCAGATCTAAGTGGGCTCAGCTGTGGAATGGAGGTGTGTCCAGCCCACGTGGCGGCCACGGGTTCAAAGGCTGTCCACCACCCTGCCGTCAGCTCAGCTTGCAAGTCCACAGTAAGAGGTTGAAAGAAGTTCTGACAGGCCGAAGGCAAAAGACTGAGCTCACGGGGAAGATCCTGCCGCTTCTCTCGGGCTTTCTCTAACCTCCACGAAAGCATTGATGGAGTATGACCTCACGTCCTATCTGGCTTTTTGCTCTTCATCTCAGTGGCTCCTTTTCCAGGAAGTGGCAGGGCTGGAACCTGCTGCTGGGACCATTCAGCCAAGTGGCATGAGTTGTTTATTTATTTATTTATTTATTTATTTGCTTTTTTGGGTCACACCCGGCAATGCACAGGGGTTACTCCTGCCTCTCCACTCAGGAATTATTCCTGGCGGTGCTCAGGGGACCATATGGGATGCTGGGAATCGAACCCGGGTTGGCCGTGTGCAGGGCAAATGCCCTACCCGCTGTGCTATTGCTCCAGCCCTGGCTGAGCTATTTTGTGCCATGCTGTGCCCTGGGGCTTGGCTGCGCCGGCCTTACAGTGCTCAGCGGCTCTGAGTCAGCAGCAAGCTCCCCTTGCCCACTCCGCCCTGTCTCTCAGGCTCCTCTGTGCTCCTGTTTCGTTCCCGCCATGGTCCCTCGGCTTTTTGCTGACTGCGTACCTGCACGCTGACCAGGACCCCCATTTCCACACTGACTGAACAGTGGAGCCACTGGCGCACCTCACAGCCAGCGCCTATCTGAGCAGCGCTGGCCTGGCCACTTGGGGTCCCAGGAGTTGGAGGTGGGGCTGCAGACCGCCCCTGGGGACAGAACCCACCCATGGAGCAAAGCCAGGGCCACCCTTAGCTGAAGGGGTGCCTTAGTTCTACCGTAGCTGCCTGTTCCTGCGGTCTTTTGCTCAACCCTCCCTTTGGTGACTCTGGTCTCACCTGGCCAGGCCTTGCTGACGTTTATACTCAGAACCCCCAGCTCTGGGCTGGAGAGATAGTGCACTAGGCCTGGATGCTGCTTTTGCAGGCTCAATCCCAGACATCTCATATAGTCCCCCGCGCCTGCACGGAGTGATTCCTCAGCCCAGAGCACACCACTGGGCATGCGTCCCAAACCCAAAGCCAGGCAAACCAAAATGCACCCCAGCTTCTGTACCTAAGAGATGCATTTCAGCTGCTTCTCCCAGAGCCCGGGACTGTGAATCTCCATTCAGGCTGCTTTCAAAAATACCGTTGACAGGGCTGGGGGCCAGCACATGTGCCTTAGCCATTCCCTCTCGGTTCTGGAGGCTGCCGAGCGTCAGCCTCCCAGCCTTCAGAGGCCGCCTGGCCAGGTACCAGGTGGAGTTTACTCACTACGTGCATGTAGACGAGGGAGGGGCTTCTCTTCTTCCGCTGATCATAAAGGGGCCAGTTCCATCACGGGCTCCTATCCTGAGCACTCCATCTTAACCAAGTGACCCCCAGTCCTTTCTCCAGGTGCCCATCACCAAGGCTTAGTGGGGCTGTATATGGGTTTGGGGCAGTCTCGTGGGGAAGGACCACACACCCACCGTCGCAGGGTTTCTTGCAGATCCCTCTTCGGGGGCGTGTGTGCTTGCAGGCAGGGTGGTGTTGCCTGGGTGGCAGTTGGAGGTGGCAGGCCAACCTCGGGGAGGACCTCTTGGGGAGGAGAGGCAAGAGTCCAGCGCGGATGTTTACGCTCAGATACAGGACAGTGCATACATTTGTCTTGCATGCAGCCGACTCAGGTTCAATCCCCAGCACCCCAGACGGTCCCCCAAGCCCCACCAGGAGTGATTCCTGGGACAGCCAGAGTCTTGCCGTCTCAGCTCAGGGTAACGGGCGACACTACCTTTCAGCCACGACAGGAATACAACTGTGTCTATGGGACCTGCAGGCCCATGGGACTTGACAAGTAGAGCCCATAGCTCAGCACCAGGCCCATTTAGCCCTCCAGAAATATGCCACCAGGCGGGTCTTCTTTATTTCCCATCTTATGGGAATTGACACTGAGAAGTTGAAGTGTGGAGAAGGGCAGGACACGGGCAGTGCAGGTGCGTGACAGCCCAGGTCACCTCCCTCCTGGAGGGTCCCGGAGTGTGGGTGATGCTCTCAGTTGGAGGAGGGCAGTGCTCTCACGGGCTGCCCACTCTGGTGAGTTCCTCCTGGGTGCTGAGTCAGAGGGACAGGCCTCTCCGATCACGTGACCTCCCAGGGTGGGGGTGGAAGGGCATGACTCAGGTGTGGTCCCAACCCTGCCCCAGTCTGTGCCCTGGAGGAAGGAATGAGTGAGCGGGTGGAGAGGCTGGGCTGAAGGCCTGAGCTCAGGGCTGGCGTGTGTTTCAGAGGGAGCCATCCCCTGGGCAGGGCGGCTCTCCACTCAGGGCTGCTTCCAGGGCCTGGCAGGACAAGGTCTGGGGACAGGAGTCCCGCGGCCAGTCCCCAGCCAGAGCAGGGAGCCTGGGCTCCTGAGGAGACCATGTGAGGGATGATGTAGCAACTGATCCCTTGGTGGGGGCTCTCAGTTTCCAGAGAAGGGAGTCTGCTCCGGGGCTGGGGGTGGGGAGGTGGGAGCATGGCAGCAGCCTCAGCCCCCAGGATTGATGAAGGGGCCTGGCTCTTGGATGGAGGCAGGTTTAATGTCACCGCTGGGGGGGCCATGCCTGGGAGCACCCTCCTCTCTGTTCTCTTTCTCTCTTCTCTTCCTCTTTCTCTCCCTCTCTCTTCTCTTCCTTTCTCTCCTCTCTATCCCTCCTTTCTCTTGTCTCTCTTCTCTCCTCCCTCCCTCTCTTTCTCACCTCTCTCTCCCTCTTTATCTCCTGTCTTCTCCCTTCTCTCTCATCTCTCTCCCTCCCTCTCTCTTCCCCTCTCTCTCTCTCTCTCTCTCTCTCTCTCTCTCTCTCTCGTTTTGTTTTGGTGCCACACCCCACAGTGTTCACGGGTTACTCCTGACTCTATGCTCATGAATTACTCCTACTGGTGCTCTGGTGTTTTTCACATCTAAGTTGGCTTAGCTATGGAATGGAGGTGTGTCCAGCCCATGTGGTGGCCACAGTTTCAAAGGCTGTCCACTGGCTGGTCGTTAGCTTTGCTTCCAAGTCCACAATAAGAGGTTGAGAGAAGTCTTGGCAGGCCACAGGCAAAAGACTGAGCCCACAGGGCGAGACCGTGCCTCTTCTCTAGGACTTTCTGAACCTCCGTGAAAGCTTGGAGTGCCAGGGATCGGACCCGGGTCAGCTGCATGCAAGACAAACGCCCTGCCCACTGTCCTCTTGCTCCAGTGCCGGGAACCCCGTTTGTTTGCTCGATGTTATCTACTAGGGTAACTTTCGAGAGCCCAGGGTGGGGCCGGGCCTCCAAAGCAAAGCCGGGCTGCCTGTGGGCAGAACAGCTGTGACATGGATGGGGTGGCCAGAGGCCAGAGGTCAGCCAGCGCCGTCCAGCCCCACACTGTGGTGACAGCTTTCTTGCATGGCTCAGGTGGGATGCCACAAGGCAGTAGGGCTGATGGGGAAGTGGGGGCACTCTGAACACTGCACATCGGCATGGTGAGGAGGGAGGCGAGTGACTTCTGTCTGACAGTTGGTTGCTGTGTTAGCTCAGGAACTGTGCCGGGACTGGGAGGTTTGGGTCCGCCAGCTCAGGGCCTGGAGTCCACTAGGAACTGGACGCGGGGCGCCCTCTGCTGGTGGCCAGCAGACGCTCGGTGCCTTTGTGTGGAGGACTGCTGTCCCCATCGTGTCACCCTCCAACCCCTCACCAAAGCGTCCTTGGCCCCTGCCTCCTGGGCTGGGTGACCCCTTCAGGTCCCCGATGAACGTTTCTCTGGCGCCCCAGGCTCTGGTTCCCCTGGGTGCCAGCACCCATGGGCCGTCTGCTCGCAGCAGGCGGGAGGAGGGTGGTGACGAGGCGTCATGGGCACCCTCAGTGCTGGTGGGGATACCACCTCTTCAGTGTTCGGACCGCGAGTCGGGCTGCCATGACGGCGACCTGTACCTTTAGTCGGGCGAGTCTTGGGGGCCCTGGGCCAGGCTGCATTTTCCTCTGGGGAGGTGGGTGGAGACAGGGAGCGAATTCCTGAGAAGGGTCGGGCTGCAGAGAGCAGCAATGCCAGCCACAGATGTGTCAAGGGCATGGGGGTCCAGGGGCGCTCCTGCGGGGGAAATGTGGGTAGACCCTCACCTGCCGGGCCATCACAGCAAGGGCTGGGAGTGTGGTGGTCTCTCTGAATGGTCTTTGTAACCGGGAACCCCTGAGCATCTGATCTCCCTGCCGTATGCTTAAGGGCTCCCAAGGGAGCGATCACACATGTAGCTGTTGGCTGTGTTGCCTTGGACCGGAGCTGGAGCTCCCTGGGCTCAGGGTTCTCATCTGTGAAATAGACGTGAGGGCCTGCCACAAACACAAACAGCACACATACCTGCAAACACTCTTTCTCTTTCTCTCTCTCTCTCTCTCTCTCTCTTACACACACACAAATACATGCTCACACTCACCACACACACCCACATTCATACACTCGCATTCAAATATACACACCAGCATGCACGCACACACATACACTCACACACACACACACACCTGTGTGCTCTCACAGCACATGCTGCTGGTGCTTGAGGAAGACTTGCACGCCAGCTTCATCATGTCGCTTCTCAGCACAGCAGGGCGGGCACCTATGCAGAGGAGCTTCCGGACTCTGTTGAATGAGTTGCCAGCTTACTTCTGTGGGTCCATTTGGCACCCCCTAAAGTTCTGAGAACCCATGGGACCCGAACATCCAGATGCAGCCAGTGTGGCGCTTGTTTGGGGCTAGCCTCCCATTGCTCTGTCCGCTCTGGGTCTGGTCAGCCCATGCCTCAGGGGCAGCTGGGTGACCTCTGCTGCCGTCCAGTTGCAGGTGTCCCGCAGGCACTGGGGTTTTAGCCCCTCGGTGGCACCCATGGGGGCACTGGCATGTGAGCTGTCGCCCTCCCCTGCGTCACCCTCAGAACAAGCCCAGGTGCTCCTGCCTCACTGTGTCCCCCCTTGATCCCCAGCCACTAGGCTGCTCTCGCCCTGGGCCTGCTGCTGACCGTCCCTCTGGGAGCCTGGGAGCGCCCCTTCTCCCTAGGGCTGGGTCTCTCTTCCCCTGAGCCTCGGCCTCCCCGTCGGAGGTGGGCAGCTGGTCCAGCTGCAGCGCGCTCCTCCCTGGCCTCTGTTGCCATTGCCCGATCTGATCCCCCCTCTTCTGCAGGCCAGGCGGCATGTGGCCCCATGTACGTCCTGATGGGGGAGGCGCTGGGTGTGGGGAGTGGCCCCGTCCTCTCACCTGAGCCCCCGCCCTCACGCCCACAGAACCGGCAGCTGCTCAAGGACAGCTTCATGGTGGAGCTGGTGGAGGGGGCCCGCAAGCTGCGCCACGTCTTCCTCTTCACCGACCTGCTGCTGTGCACCAAGCTCAAGAAGCAGAGTGGAGGGTGAGCACGGGCCCGGGGGTCTATCCCAGAGGTGTCGCTGACCACACGGCCAGACCATTCTCTTTAAGTGACATTTCTATGTCCGGGTCACGGTCTGAGGTCACCGTGAACAGTCTGGAGAGTTCCTGGCTTGGGCTCAGTGACTGAGCTCTTGGCCCATAGCGGGGTGGGGGCTGGTAGAATGGCTGGCAGGGAGGCGTGAGTGATGGGCTGGGGGTTGCAGGGGCAGCTCGAACCAGGGTGCGGGGATTGGCCTCCCAGCCCCGGAGGCAGGCACCACGATTGTCACAGGTGGACACTCCTGCTTTATTCTCTGCACCGATGGGATCTGACACCTGGGGGGTCTGAAGGAAGAAAGCCTAGCAAGGGCGTGGGAGCACTGAGCTCTTCCCTTTATTCTGGCATTGACGTGCTGAGCAGATTTCTTCAGGAGAGCCTCAATTTCCTCATCTGCCAAGGGATTGGTTACCTGGGACAGAGCTGCAGCCCTCCACACTCGGGGTGGAGGTGCTGTGAGCATAGGGTGCCTTGGAGCGGGGCCTGTCACACCCCTCAGGGACAGGGTCATGCATGTAGAGTCCTGTTTGCGTGGGGCATCAGACTGCCAGCGCCCTCATCCTTGCGTGGCGTGGGGATTCGCAGAGGAAGGCAGCGTGCTCACGTGCCCCTTCCCCTCACCCAGCAAAACCCAGCAGTACGACTGTAAGTGGTACATCCCGTTGACGGACCTCAGCTTCCAGACGCTGGACGAGTCGGAGGTGGCGCCCAACATTCCCCTGGTTCTTGACGAGGAGCTGGATGCCATGAAGATCAAGATCTCTCAGATCAAGAATGATATTCAGAGAGAGAAGGTGGGACCGGCTAGGTCGGGCTCTGATACTTGAGCAGGTGGTCGGGCAGGAGCAGGTAGGGGGGCTCTGCCAGGGTCTCACCCCACCTCACCCGTTCCTGCCAGGCAGCAGCTGTACATAGGTGGGCTGGGGGAGGGGGGGCATGGGTGTCCACGGTCCTGCTCAGGATTGCTCCAATAGGGAGTGAGTTCCATGCTGGCCTTAGGTCTTCAGAGGTTCAGAAGTTTGTAAGGAGAGTGAGGCCGAGCCCCTCTTGCGTAGGGTCAGGGGTCAGCCCAGACCAGAGTAGTGCCATTACAGTGGCCACAGATGAAGTGGGTCCCTGAAAGGCTGGAGCCTTGGACCAAGCGATAGTACAGTAGTCAGGGTGGATGCCTAGCTTGTACCCTGCCCCGGCTTCGTTTCTAATGCCATGTGATCCACCGAGCATCTCCAGGTACTGCCCTGGAGGTCCCTGAGCACTGCCCTGTGTGGCCCTACACAGCCTCCACGGCCTCTTGTGTCCAGCCCAATGGGCTGAGAATCACTGTTGTGGTTCCCAGACCTCCTGAGCACTATATCCCCTAGCCCACCCCCCAAAACAGGATTGGGGGGGGTCTGTGAGCAGGGGGATCTGCCTGAGCCCAGCGGGCAGTTCTCCTGCCCGCTAGTCTCCTGCGCCTCAATCCCGGAAGCCGAGCAGAGCACTGAGAGGAAGTCCGACAGTAGCGTGGACAGCCCGTGGACCACTCACCCAGCGGGCCTGCTGCGGCCCTGCCGCCGCTGCTTTCATACGTGGTGCTCTTTGTCCCCTCCCCTGGGATGGGCTTGGACGTGTGCCTGGCCTCCCCAGGGCCCCTTCCAAACTCTTCCTGGGGCTGATGCTCAAATGGGCTTGGATTTGGGATGGAGCAGGGGCCGCCGGGTTGCAGTGTCCCTGTGGACGTTTTCCAAGTTCTGGAGACATGCAGAAGGTTTGTGCAGGTTCGCCCTCTCCGCCGTGGGAGGCGGGGCCAAGCGCCCACGGGAAAGTGGGCTGGCATGTGTCCAGAAGCGTGAGCGTGTCTTAGTCCTCGCGAGACCAGCCGGCCATGGCCGAGTAGCCCCGTCCCCTGCTGTGTAGCAGCTGGAGTGCCCCCGCTCCCAGGGTGGATGTCAGGGTGCTGGGGGCCTGCCGGGAGGAGACCAGCCACACTGACCTCCCCGCTTCCCGTGGCCTCTCCCTACAGAAAGCGAACAAGGGCAGCAAGGCCATCGAGCGGCTGAAGAAGAAGCTCTCGGAGCAGGAGTCGCTGCTTCTGCTCATGTCCCCCAGCATGGCCTTCCGGGTGCACAGTCGCAACGGCAAGGTGAGCGTCTGCCGCACCCCGCTCAGCCTCCAAACCCGTCTCGCGCCCCCAGGCACAGCCACAGGGCCCCGGCCATCACACCTGGCACTGCGCCCGAGACCTGCCTGTGGGGCCTTTGCCATGACAGCACTTGCCTGCTGGAGAGGCGGGTCCAGGTGGCACCCAGAGACACGAGAATCCCTGTCCCTAGTGCTTTGGGCTGTCATCTCTGGGTGGGGCGATGCTAGTGCCACCCTCACCTTTGGGAGTCTGAACAGGACAGTGGGGGCTGTGACGTATGCATTTCTGACCCTCGGGGTGAGATGCTGTCTGGGGACCTCGTGGGAGAAAGAGGCCCCTGTGCCCTGGGTCTAGCTGTGGACTGAGCCTCTCCCTCCAGGGGAAACACACACACACATACACACACACACACACACCCTCCAGGGGAATTTTACGCACATACATAACACACACGCCCTCTGGACCCCCCTTTTGTGCGGCCAGGAGCACAGGCATGCCTCCCCGGAGCTATCCACAAAGCCTGCTGTGTAGGAGGGGGACGGAGAGCTAGCGCCGTGCTGTGTGCGCGCTGGGCACCAGCAGCCCTGTGGCTCGCAAGGGCCTTGCCACAGTGAGGAGGGGCCTTGGCTGCAGGATGTACCGGGGCATGTGCTCCTTTTCACCCTCAGAGTTACACATTCCTGATCTCGTCCGACTATGAGCGCGCCGAGTGGAGGGAGAACATCCGGGAGCAGCAGAAGAAGTGTAAGTGTCTGCAGAGAGCCCGCCTGGCTGTTGATCGGCTTTTGCGGGTTTCATCCTTGGGACTCTTTTTTTCTTTTCCTTCCTTCCTTCCTTCCTTCCTTCCTTCCTTCCTTCCTTCCTTCCTTCCTTCCTTCCTCTCTACCCTCCTTCCTTCCTTCCTTCCTTCCTTCCTTCCTTCCTTCCTCTCTACCCTCCCTCCTTCCTTCCTTCCTTCCTTCCTTCCTTCCTTCCTTCCTTCCTTCTTTCCTTCCTTTTTCTTTTCATTTCTTTCTTCTTTCCCTTTCCCTCCCTCTCTCCCTCCCTCCCTCCCTTTCTCTCTCCCCTCCTCTCCCCTCCCCTCCCTCCCTCTCTCTCTCCCCTCCCTCCCTCCCTCCCTCCCTCCCTCCCTCCCTCCCTCCCTCTCTCTCCCCTCCCTCCCTCCCTCCCTCCCTCCCTCCTTCCTTCCTTCCTTCTTCCTCCCTCCCTCCCTTCCTTCCTTCCTTTCTTCCTTCCTTCCTTCCTTCCTTCCTTTTTCTTTTCATTTCTTTCTTCTTTCCCTTTCCCTCCCTCTCTCCCTCCCTCCCTTCCTTTCTCCCTCCCCTTCACTTCCCACCCTTCACTCCCCACCCTCCACTCCCCCACCTCCCTCCCTCCCTCCCTCCCTTCCTTCCTTCCTGTGGAACTCATCTGCCACCCTGCACTTTGCAGTCCCGTTGTAGCACACTGCTGCCCCCTAGTGCCAGCCTGAGCACTGTATTCTGGGTGACCTGGGCTCATCTGCTGAACAGTTGATGGGTCAGGGAGCTCTGCACACCTCTGCCCTTTTGCCATTTGCGCCAGGGAACTGTGTGCTTCATTTCTCTCTGCGGTTCCCCTGTATCCTTGGGGACCAGATGCAGCTGGCGGCTCTGATGGCTAGTGGCTGTTCCTCTCCAAGGGCTCCCTGCTGTAAGCCAAGATCCTCCTGTTGGCGGTGGGTGTGGTGGTGTCTTCTCCCTGCTCAGCGCTCTGTGCAGACATAAGCCTCTCTCCAGACCCAGCAGGGAGGGGACTGACTTACAGAGGGGAGGATAGAGCTGGGCTGGTCTCTGGGGAACCCTGCAGGAAAGACGGCTTGTGGTGGTACCGAGTGATAGGCAGACCCCGTGTCTGTCGGGTCACGTTACGCTCCCCCCTGCCTTCAAGTCCAGCCTGGGCACTTGGTGGGCACACCGCCCTCTGCCAACTACCAGCCCCTCCCTCAGAGCACAGACCCAGGGCATGTGAAGGCCCAGTAGGTGATACTTGGACTCTTGAGCAAACCTGCTGGGGGTCCTGGGATGCCCGAGTACTTCCATTGTGGCTGGTTGTATACCTGTCTTCCTCCCTTTCAGGTTTCAAAAGCTTCTCCCTGACGTCTGTGGAGCTGCAGATGCTGACCAACTCGTGCGTCAAACTTCAAACTGTTCACAGCATTCCACTGACCATCAACAAAGAAGGTGAGCTGTTGACCCATTCCGCTGTCCATGCTGCTCTGAGGCCACGGAGCTTCAGTCCACAGGGGTGACTGTGGCTGCTGAGGACGCGTTGGCCTCCACCAGACATAGACAGGAGGGGTTAGAAGCGATTGCTCCTGAGATGGCTGCTGTCGAGTAATGCCAGAGACCAGCGGTGACCAGGTCCACCCTGGTCCTGAGACAATCCTTGCAGCCGCTGTTCCACTCCCCTGTCCTCCTATCTCTCCTGTCAGCAAGTGTTGGCGCCGAGTTGTGCTGCCTTGGTTTCAGTGTCACACAGTTGAGCACATTCATACAGGGATAAACTTTTTTTTTCTAGTTGGGGCAGTTGGGGGGTAGGGGGATGGCATACCCGGCTGTGCTCAGGGCTTACTCGGCTCTGCACTCAGAGAGCACTCCTGGTGGGGTTTGGGGAAACCCTGTGGGGTGCCCGGGATCAAACCCAAGTCAGCCACGTGCAGGACAGGCACCGTACCCGCTGTCCGGTCACTCCAGCCCCACACAAGTGTCTCCTTACGGGTGTGTGTGCACATATGCCTCTGTCACTTGCCAGCCTAGTTCTTCTCCTGTCCTGGGAACCTGAGATTTGGTCTTGCTCATAGGTTTGCCTGGATCCTAAGGTTTCCCTGGCTGTGGTTCTATTCCGCAATGCTGCCTTGCCCCAGAGCTGCATAGCCACTCAGTGTCTCCTTTGAGGATTGATTTAATTTAATTTGGTTTGGTTGTGGGGGCCACATTGGCAGTGCTCAGGGCTTACTTTGGGTGATGCTTGGAGGACCGTATGCAGTGCCCAGGATGGAACCAGGGTCAGCTGTGTGCCAATCTATCTCTCTAGCATAAAGGTTGGTTTTTAAAGCAGAGCCTTGCCATGTCCCAGGAAGACTGACTCCTTTCTGCTCTCTCGCACAGACGATGAGTCTCCTGGGCTCTGTGGTTTCCTGAATGTCATTGTTCACTCCGCCACTGGCTTTAAGCAGAGTTCAAGTAAGTGACCGAGGTTAACTATGGCAAAGCTTAGCCAATCCTCCACCCGGAAGGGCTGATTGGACAGGGTGTGGGAAACCAGGAATGTGACTCAAATGACAAACAGCCACCTTTGACCCTCAAGTGGCAGTGCTGGTGCCAACCCATGGATGGAGTTTTCCCAGAGTGGACAGTGCCCTTTCCCAAGCCTGTCTCAAGTGGGCGGGTGAGCGCCCTCTGCTGGCGGGTGTTACCGTGGCCGTCTCACCGTGGGCTTCTGTGCTTCTGGGCCCCTGGCAGCAGAGGGGATTTAGCTGATCTGAGGAGTAGAAAGCGTCCCCTTTCCCTCCTTCCTCTTGATGGGAGGGGCTTCTCCATGCAAGGTCGAAAGGGCTCCGTGTAGCAGGGACATAAAGCAAGAACTGCGTTCTTCTCCCTCTGCTTTACTGTGAAACAGAGCGAGAGATTTCCCCCTGACAAGACACAGATAGAAGCTGTGTTGATAAATACGCATGTGATAAAGGATCTGTGTCCAGGAATGTCATTTTATAAAGTAAAGATGAGCAAAAGATTTATGTAGGTGCTTCCTCAGAGAAATACCCATCACTTACAAATACCCGTCACTTACAAATACTTACAGAAAAGATGCAGATCATGTAGGGAGATGTCAGAGTAGGTCCACTGCGCGATGGTGCTCCACGCCCTTTAAGAAGGCTGCCACCAGCAGGATTCACTGTGGCTAGTGTTGACAGGGTCCTGCTCTCAGCATCCGAGAGCATTCTCAGGGTGGGCCGACTGTCAGTGATGTCGAAGGATCCAGCCACCTGGAACATAGTTCCACCATTCTTAAACAGTTAAATACCTCCCTATTCTGTGTCCCAGGTGCCCACTCTTACATATTTAAACTAAGGAAATCCAGAACTCCACTTGGACTCAGATGCTAGACACATCGTGGTTTGTCCATGCACTGGAGCCCCATTCTGCTATAAAAACGAAGAAATGGTTACAGCCAGCACTGTGGATGAACCTTAAAAAAAAAAAAAAAACCATGGTACCAGACCCAAAAATGCAAATGACCACATGGGGTAGCTCTCTGTGTCTGTGGAATTGCCAGAAAAGGCAGCAGAGGGAGGACTGACCCCAGTGGGCATGAACGGGCTTTTCAGGTGCACACACTGTCCCAGTACCTGCCACAGCCTGACATTTCCTAAAACTCCTTCACTGTGTACTTAGCTTGGATGGGCGAGTTGCATGCTATGCAGGTTCTACCCCCCGAAGCTGGAAGATGCACACGTCATTGTTCCTCTTCCTCTCCGGGTGCTGGTGTTTCTGGGGTGTCGGCTCCCGCCTTCCTCCCTTTCTGCATACGCTCCTCCCTCCCTCTTCCTGGGGACTTTTCTGTGCACAACACAAATAGTACCCACAGCTGCCTTTCCATCCCCCCCTTCCCCTTCCCCCTGTCTTGTTAGTGGTCCATACTTTAAATGTTGTGCCAAACTGAACCGATCCCTCATGACCCGCAAACTTGTTTCTTTTGTCTATACCAGCATGGAATACCACCTTGCAACCAACACCTGTCCGTTTTCCCATCTTTCCAGTGAAGTGCTTTCTCTGTAGCTTCCTTACGTCTCAGATCACCTGTCTTGTCCTTTGTGTCCTCCATCAGTGACCTCCCTGCTCCCTACCACCAGGCTTTGTCCACTCAGACTCCCGTTCCACCCTACATCTCTCCGTGCTGAGCTGCTTTCTGTGCCTCACACTGGGCTACAGCCTCTTTGCCCCGAGTCTTCCTGAAAAAAACTCATAGCAGGATTTTTGCAGACTCACAAGCTGCCCATGTGTGTCCCTTACCAGGTAATGTCCCATTCACCTTTGTCATGATCACATCATGCGGGAGATTTTCTGCCAGGGTGTCATTAGTAACTCAGAGGTGTTGGTTCCCAGCTGTAAGCAACAAGGAGGGTCTGGTCACTGTGTGAGGGACGGGTGCTGCTGCTGGCCACCCGTTGGGGGTCTCATTGATAAAAAGAAGATGAAAATAATGCTGGTCTTCCAGAAAGCAGCACTTGGAAAAGCTGTTAACTGTCTCCCTCCCTCCTACAGATCTGTACTGCACACTGGAGGTAGATTCCTTTGGGTATTTTGTGAATAAAGCCAAGACGCGAGTTTACAGGGACACAACAGAACCAAACTGGAATGAGGTGAGGCTCTGCTTTCTCCTTCCCGGCAAGCTTTGCATGAACCCCTGGCCATTACCAGAAGACCCGTTACTCTACAGAAAGTCTGAATCTGGGGAGAGGCTCCCTCAAGCTTCCCTGGGCATTCCTGGAATCTGCTGGGGGAAGGGGTGACGTGTCAAAGAGTTTTTATTTCTGTGTTTCCGAGGTCCTTCCACTCACCACCTCCCCCCCCCCCCCCCATCCCCATCACAAAGAAATGGCCTATTTTGCTGGAGAAGTGTTCCGAAGAAGAACTTAAAAAGGGCTTTTTGTCCTGCCTTTGTTATTGCTCAAGTGTTTACTTAGGAGGTTTCCATAGCGCTTTTCCTCTGAGGTTGGAATGAGTTGGCGCCTGCCTGACCCTTCCAGTGACCGGACGCGTGAGGCTCTGCCCCGGGGGTGGGTCCGGGGGGCACCCCAGACTCTGCTCCCGGGCCTCCCTGTGTTTGTCCTGGGGTGTTGTGTTGTATTCTTGGCTGTTCTGTTTTCCTCTGCCTCGAAGTGGGACTCGCTTGCCCTGTGCTCTTCAGCCTTTGGGCCTGGTGGCAGGTATTGGAGAAGCCCTCAGGTCCCCGAGAGGCCAGTTCCCAGCTTCTGGCGCAGCTGCAGCCAACACGTTGCTCATGCTCAAGCATGTAGGTGGAGTAGCGTTTCTCAGCCAGGGGTCACAGGACCCCATGGGGCCCCCAGGATATTCTGCTGGGCCACCCCAGTGGACGTTGCACAAAGGGGGCTATAGCATGAGACTAGAGGCTCGCAGGAGAGGTAGGGGCTCAGGAAGGGAACAAGGTCAGCAGGGGAACACGTTCAGAAAAAGTGGATCAGTATTAGGGTGGAGGTTGCCAGGGAGAAAGCTAAGAACCATGGGCTGCCTGGTTCATCCTGGTGTTTCCTGGCGCCTCCTGGCCTCTCCTGATCTCATGTGACCAGCAGGACCATGGTAGGGCCCTAGCCAGCTCTCCTTGGCACCCCCTGCTGGCCCGTTGGACTTGCTGCCTCGGGAGGGCAGAGCCGTGGCTGCCCAGCCTGACTTCCTGTTGTGGCCGCTCTGTGGGAGTAGAGCCTGGACGCATCCATGGGAAGAGGCTTGGGAGAGAGGGCGCGGGCCTGACGCAGCACAGGCAGTGCGAGAGGTTCCGGGTTCTGCCAAGGAGTCAGGAAGGTTGTAGAGTCTTCCCTGGTAGGAAACACATGCTGTTCGTTCTCACCTCCTCTGGGATTCAGAAATATCTACCCCCCACCCCCACCCGCAACCCCCTACTTCCGTTTCACCACCAGAAGCCCATGCAGCAAAAGCATTGGAGTGAAAGGTGGAGTTGACTGAAGAAATACTGAGGGTGACGGGAGGAGAAAGTTAGTGAGTAGCCCACAATCCACTGCTGACTGCCCAAAGTTTTTGTCGGAGCAGTTCTTGCCTCTTAGGTTCTTTCTGCTCCTTCTCTGCCCTGGATTCCTTTTTTTTCTTTTCTTTTTTTGGTTTTGTTTTTTTGTTTTTTGTCCCTTTCCAGATTTTTAAATTTTTCCCCCTTTTAATTGATTCACCATGAGGTACAGTAACAGCTTTCAAGTTTGCGCTTCGAACATAACAATCATCAAACACCCATCCCTTCACCGAGCACATTTTCCACCACCAAGATCCCTAATCCGCCCCCCCGCCCCCCACCCCATTCCATACCTACCCCTGCCTGTATGGCAGACATTGCACAATACTCTCTTCTTCTACTTTGGTTACCTTCAATATTTCAAGATTTTTAATTTTTAGGCCAGCTTTCGAGCTACAACAAACCTGAGTGCCACTACCCCCACCCCCTGCCCCGACAGCCTCCTCTGCTGTCAAAACCAGAGTGAGTGACATGTTGACTACACAGTCCCTAGACTTATCTGCAGTAGAACTGCCCTCCTCACCCCCCGAATCCTGGTAAAGGTGGTGTGGGGACCCATCCAGGTGCTGTCTTCATATGTTTGGTTTGGGTTGTGAGACATCCGGAGTTTCTGGAAGCTCTCGGACTAGGCCGCATTGTGATGCTCGGTGGGGCAGTGGTTTCTGCAGGTCAGCACTCCAGGAGTAAAGGGAGGAGGGCCTTGAGCCTCAGGGGCCCCTGGGGGTGCCAGGAAGCTGCTTCATGCAGAAGATTTCCAGTGTTCCTCTACCCCTTGCTGAGAGCCATTCTTAACCAGGGATTTTCCTTCCTTCTCCGGGATGCAGGAGTTTGAGATTGAGCTGGAAGGCTCCCAGACGCTGAGGATACTGTGCTACGAAAAGTGTTACAACAAGCTGAAGATCCCCAAGGAGGACGGCGAGAACACGGACCGGATCATGGGGAAGGGCCAGGTCCAGGTGGGGCTCACCTCCTCCTCTCCCCACCCCCACCCGTGGACTCCTGCCCTAGCTCGGCCCCCGGGATCCGCCTAAACCCCACCTCTGGATGCTCTGGAAATGGCCAAGGGCGGGGCCCCGGGGAGGGCACCGGGCTGGAGCACCAGCAGCCCTCATTCCGAGGAACGTTTGCCTTGGCACAGCCTGGCTGGCACCTGCACAGGTACTTTCCTGCCCACATTGATCTGTGGCTTTTACCCCCAGCTTGTCCCCAGAGGAATTTGCATTTAGTTTGTTTTTCCAACCGAGACCCTCTTTAACCCCTCAGGAAGGAACTGTTAGGTGGTGCCATGGATGGAACTGGGCAGGCAAGAGGCCATCTTTCTGTGAGAAAGCATTAGCGAGCGAGTCCACTGTTCAATGGCCCCTGTCTGGTCGGGCCCAGGTTGTAGCAAGAGCTGTTGTTCCTTAAACGGTGGGTGCCCCCCAAAGTTGACTTAGACACCCCAGGGTGGGTCCCTGGGCTGTCTGAAACCCATCTGGGGCAGGGGGTGCAGGCGGAGCAATAGTAGAATGGGTAGAGTGTTTGTCTTGCATGCAGCTGACCCAGGTTTGATCCCTGGCACCTCATACAGTCCCCTGAGCACTGGCAGGAGTAACCTGAGCATCACTGCATGAGGCCAAAAGCCAAAACAATAAAAACAAAAAAACAAGTTGTCTGGGGCTCCATCCTTCAGAAATTCACCCGGCCCCTGGAAGCCCACCACCAGCTTCCACATTCTTTGTATATGGGCCTGTCATGGAGCTGGGCCCTCTTGGAGGAGGCTTGAGGGGAGCGGGTTTGGAGTCCCTAATGCCATGGGAGCATGGGGCACTCCAGGAAGCCCCTCTCCCTTCCCTGAGGACCCGAAGTGAGAACAGGTCTGTGTGAGCTGAGCTGCGGAATGCTGGCGAGGAATTGAGGGACTTTGGAAGTCTTTTCTGCCTGTGCTCCATTATCTGTCCGTCAGGCCCTCACTGAGCTCCAGAACCTGCACCAGCTTCTTGACTCAGTCACCCACCTGGTAGTATTAGGAAACCCAGTGGCCAGGCCTGCAGCTGCCCTGTATACCTTGAGACCTGTCCACTGCCATCTACTGTCCAGCAGACCCACCGAGATGTGGTGGGAGGGGAGGTGCCCCCAGCCAAACAAAGATGCAGGGAGAGGAGGACTCTGCGATGCCCTCAGATGCACACCTCTGTGCTTCAGGGAAGGCCGCAGCCCGCGTCCGGCCCCAGGGGGCAGGGGTTGGGGAGAGAGAGGCCTGCCTGCCTCAGTTCCAGAGTCCGTGCAGGTTTGGGGTGTCACTTGGGGAGAAATCTCTAACAAACACAGGAAGGCAGGCTCTGCAGCCCCTTTCTCAGCTGGGGATGGTTTACAGAGGCCCGTAGCGGCTGTTGGTCATCCACCAGAACCCCGTGGCTCAGGTGTAGGGTAGAAGGGCTTCGTTTCTTTGTTCCCAGTGAGCCTTACACTGCCCAGGAAAGTTTCGGTGGACCGAGGCTTCAGGTGGGAGAAACAGGAACGCCAGCCAGTGTGTCAGGACCTGTGTCAGGTTTCAAGACCAGGACTTGGGGTCCTGCTCTGTAACTGGCAGAGTCCCTTCTTTCTCCCAGTGCACCGGTTTTATAGCCTGACTTGCGCCCAGCTGGGCCGGTAGGGGTGTGTGTTGCATCTCCATGTTTTGCTTGTGTTGTGGCCATGTGTTGGGCCCTGGACAACACAGGGTTTCCATTTCCATTTCATGTAAAGAAAAACCACTTATGACACGAGCTCAAGTGTTTTCTACTGAGCATGCTTGTGCTGGGCTCGAAACACCCGGTTAGGGCACCTGTTAGATGAGCTTCCTCACTCGAGGACCTTCCAAATCCACTTCCATGATGACTGGGCTCCCTCTCCCTGATTGCTCTCTGGATTGGCATCTGTCCCCCATCCTGGGCGTTCCTCACCACACACAGGCCCTGGCCTGCATCTTGGAGATTCCTCCTGACCCCCTGAGATGATTGGATGGAACCATCAAACCTGGCCTCTGGCCAGATAAAGCTAGTGGAGGCACAGAACCCTTGGACTCCAATCATTTGAATCTTCCAGCCTAAGTTCCAGTGATGAGAGGATGCGAACTGTTGTGGATTGGTGCTCCTCGTTGTCTCTTATTTGTCTATTCATCTTCAAAAACCTTTCGCCATGGTAACACTGGACATAAGCAGGGTTTATCTTTTTTTTTTTTTTTTTTTTCCCCCCTTTATTTTATTTTATTTTTTTTAAAGTTGTAGATTTACAATTTTTTGTGCTTTGGTTTCAATTATACAATGATCAGATACCCATCCCTCCACCAGTGCCCATTTTCCACCACCATGGATAATATCCCTCCCACCCCCATCCCCCCATCCCCCCGTCTCTGTGGCAGGGCAATCCCCTGTGTCCTCTCTCTCCTTTTGGGTGTTGTGGTCTGCAAAAGAGGCATTGAGTGGCAAACATGTTCAGTCCATAGTCTACTTTCGACATGCATCTCCCCTCCTGGGAGGATCCTCCAAACATCCTTTATTTGGTGCTCCCTTCTCTATCTGAATAGCCCTTTCCTCTAGGATACCCGGCTGGCCTCTAAGTTATGGAGTAATCCTCCTGGTGCTGATCTCAGCTATTCTTGGGTATTAATCTCATACTTTGTTACTTTATATCCCCCAGATGAATGCAATCTTTCTATGTCTATCCCTCTCTTTCTGACTCATTTCGCTTAGCATGATACTTTCCATATTGTACCACTTGTATGTAAATTTCATGACTTCATCTTTTCTAAGAGCTACATAGTACTCCATTGTGTAGATGTACCAAAGTTTCTTTAACCAGTCATCTGTTCTTGGGCATTCAGGTTTCTTCCAGTTTCTGGCTATTGTAAAGAGGGCTGCAATGAACAAACAAGTGCAGATGTCACTTCGACTATACATTTTTGCCTCTCTGGGATATATTCCCAGGAGTGGTATTGCTGGGTCAAACGGGAGCTCAATTTCTAATTTTTTGAGAATCGTCCATACTGTTTTCCAGAAGGGCTGAACCAGTGGACATTCCCACCAACAGTGAAGGAGTGTCCCTTTCTCGCCACATCCACGCCAGCATCGGTTGCTTTTGTTCTTTTGAATTTGGGCCAGTCTCTGAGGTGTGAGATGGTATCTCATTGTGGTTTTGATCTGCATCTCCCTGATGATTAATGATGTAGAGCATTTTCTCATGTGCTTTTTTGCCATTCGGATTTCTTCTTTGAGAAAGTTTCTGTTCATTTCATTGCCCCATTTTTGGATGGGGTTGGATGTTTTCTTCTTGTGGAGTTTAACCAGTATTTTGTATATCCTGGATATCAACCCCTTGTCAGATGTGTATTCGGTGAATATCCTTTCCCATTCTGTAGACTGTCTTTGTATTTTGGTCACTGTTTCTTTGGAGGTGCAGAGGCTTCTTAGTTTAAGATAGTCCCATTTATCTATCTCTGTTTTCACTTGCTCGGCCAGTGGCGTGGCATCTTTGAAGATACCATTAGCTTCAATGTCATGGAGGGTTTTGCCAACTTTATCTTCAATGTACCTTATGGTTTCTGGTCTGATGTTGAGGTCTTTAATCCATTTTGATCTTACTTTTGTACATGGTGTTAGGCAGAGTTCTGAGCCTATTTTTTTGCATGTAGCCGTCCAGTGATGCCAACACAATTTATTAAAGAGGCTTTCCTTACTCCACTTCACATTACTTGCACCTTTATCAAAGATTAGATGAGCATATGATTGAGGAGAGATGTCAGTGTATTCAACCCTGTTCCATTGGTCTGCAGTTCTGCCTTTGTTCCAGTACCATGCTGTTTTAATTATTACTGCTTTGTAGTACAGTTTGAAGTTCGGGAGGTTGATTCCTCCCATTTTCTTTTTCCCAAGAATTGCTTTAGCTATTCGTGGGGGCTTATTGTTCCATATAAATTTCAAGAGTGTTTGCTCCATTTCTTTGAAGAATGTCATGGGTATCCTTATAGGGATTGCATTGAATTTATACAATGCTTTCGGTAGTATTGCCATTTTGACAATGTTAAGTCTCCCGACCCATGAGCAGGGGATATCTTTCCATTTCCTCATGTCCTCTTTTATTTCCTGAAGTAGCGTTTTGTAGTTTTCTTTGTACAGGTCCTTTACTTCCTTAGTTAAGCTGATTCCTAGGTACTTGATTTTCTGGGGCACAATTGTGAATGGGATTGTTTTTTTCATGTTGCTTTCTTCTCTCTCACTGTTTGCGTATAGGAAAGCCATGGACTTTTGGGTATTGATTTTATAACCTGCAACTTTACTATACGAGTCTATTGTTTCTAAGAGTTTTTTGGTGGAAGTTATTGGGTTCTCTAAGTAGAGTATCATATCATCTGCGAATAGTGAGAGCTTGATTTCTTCCTTTCCTACCTGAATGCCCTTAATATCTTTTTCCTGCCTAATCGCTATTGCAAGTACTTCCAGTACTATATTGAACAGCAGTGGAGAGAGTGGGCATCCCTGTCTCGTCCCTGATCTTAGAGGGAAGGCTCTCAGTTTTTCCCCATTGAGGATGATGCTTGCTGTAGGCTTGTGGTAGATGGCTTTAATTATGTTGAGGAAGGTCCCCTCTATACCCATTTTGGCTAGGGTTTTCATCATAAAGGGGTGCTGGATCTTATCAAAAGCAGGGTTTATCTTTTTGCACGTATCTAGTCCACTTCAATAGTCTGAGGGCGCTAAGTGGCCTCCCTGCCCTATCCGAGGAAGGAACAGAGCGATAAGGTGGTGGGGGGCCACCAGGGGGTCTCTTGGAGATGCCTGAGAACTGTCTTCGTTTGCTCTCCAGTTGCAGCTTGCCCCTTTCGGCTGTGCTCTGGGGGTGCTCCTTGAGAGATTTCCCCCTCTCCCCCCTTGCTCTCCCTCTTCTAGAACCCGACATGAGACGGCAGGGAGTGGCGGATATGGCCTCTTAAAAAGTACTAATGACAAAAGAAAAAAAAATTCACTAATGACATTTGTTAAAGGGGGCGGGCAGACTTTCTTCTAAACATAGATTTGATGTATCACCCAAATCCGGGTCTAGAGTGTTTGTATCACTCCAAGACGGTTTCCTCTTTCCCATGTACAGTCACGGCCTATTCCTACCCACAGCCTGCCCTGATCAACTCCTGTTTATAGATCTGCCCACGCTGCACTTTCCACATAATGGAATCTTGCCTCGTGTGTCCTGTTCCCTGAATTCTCCCATTTAGCATGTTTGTGAATGGCAGATGGCGATGTTGCATTCTTCTCTATGGCTGACCCCATCCTTCCATTGTCTGCTTCATGCATGCCTTTAGTTTACTGCTCAGCAGTCGGTCGTCCTGGGGTTGGTTCCAGCTCAGGTCTGGTAGGATTGAGCTGTTTTCAACATGGGCACGCAAGCCTTCATGGGAGCGGATGTTTGCCATCTCCCCGTGTGGGTACTTAGGATGGAAATCCTGGACCGTGTGGCCAGGTTGATTTGGAGAAACTGCTCTGCCTTCCAGAGTGGTTGCACCCCTTGCACCCCCGGTGGCATGCCTGAGACTTCTTATTCCTCCACGTCCCCATCAGCACTTCGGCTTTTGCCTGTGACCCTTTCTAAGCATGACCATCTTGAGGCGGGGGAGGTTTGCCTTATCACTTTCTATCTTTTTGGTTTTTTGGTTGATTTGCTTTGAGGTCACACCTGGTGATTGTCAAGGGTTACTCTTGGCTCTGTACTCAGGAATTACTCCAGGGGATCATCTGGGATGCTGGAGACAGAACCTGGCCCTGACCTATGCAAAGCAAGTGCCTTAATCACTGTGATGCTGGAGCCTGATTTGAGATTTGAAAAGGACATAAAAAGATGAAAGATGAGGGGCCGGAGCGATAGTACAGAGGGTAGGGCGTTTGCCTTACACACGGCCTACCCAGGTTCAGTCCACAGCACCTCATATGGTCCCCCAAGCACCGGCAGGACCAGGAGTGATTCCTGAGTGCAGAGCCAGGAGTAACCCCTGAGCATAGCTGGGTGTGCCTCCACCCCCCCAAAAAAAGACTGAAGATGTGGGCAGTGGCACCCAAGAGAATAGATGGTTGTAATAACGGCTGCAGTGGGAAGCAGGGTTTCTCTCCTGTGATACTTCTTGGTCATCTCTTAGTACCATGTCCTTCAACCTTTCTGCCTCTGCTGACCAGCACTGGCCATGGACCAGTGGTAGAAGATCACTGTCGGCAGCAGGCTGCGTGTTGTTCAGCTGGGTGTGGGCACAGAGGGAGCCGCAGTCCACAGGCTGGCAAGAGAGGAGGGCAAAGGCTCTTTCTGCCCTGGACAGTGTAGTCCTCTCCCTGACCCTCACCCCCGCCGAGGGCAGATAACAGGGTGCCCGGCGGTTGTTTGACAGTCACCAGTGGCTGTGCCACTAGAGAGTGGCCTTGCCCCCACTGTCTGCCTCAATTGGGCATGCAGAGTCGGTCTCCAGACAGAGCGAAGAGCCCATCCCCAACTCAGTTCCTCTAAACCCCACCTGCCTGTCTTGGGGGCAGAGGAGTGGGCACCCAGAGCACCTTCCCCAGAACCCACAGGCCAGCAGCTGCTGGAACCAGGAGTGGTTCTCCAAGGGCGTTCACCCCCCTCTCCTCATCACTCCCCCCCACTTACTCTCCCTGATGCTGGTAGGTTTTCCCTTCACTCTCATTTCCAGTCTTCTCTTCCCAGTCATCTGTTTTTCCAGACCACAGTCCTGCACTTGTTTATTTCTCTGGTGCTTTAAATAGCCACACGAGAGCGCATGCCAGCCCAGAGAGCCGTTTCAGGCTGGATGGAGCCCTCGCCGCTGTGTTATTCTTTTGGGCCGCTTCCGCCCTGCTCGGCACGCTCTGTTCTTTGGAGCCCAGCCAGCCTGCGACTGCCTTTCCCACTGGACAGCCAGCCCAGGACCCCCTGCAGGGCTGCGGGTCCCAGCAAGAGCTGCAGGCGGCGCCGTGACCTGGGGTCTTTACCTCAGGGACCAGCACATGTCATAGCCTCTGGGGTTAGGGGCCAAGTGGGCTGGTTGTTGACCTGGGGATGGGTGATACAGCACAGAGCCCCCTGGTCACTAGTCACTGTGTTCTTGGGGGCAGAAGCTGGGGAATGTTTTCCACCCGGGATCCGTCCACTGAGGCACCGTATGGGATCACCAGCTGGACTGGTACAGGTGCAGCGGGGCGGGGAGGGAATCACTGAGCATGTCCAGCCCGAGATGGACTGGCCAGGGCTGTCTGTGTTACTCAGTGTCTCCAAATGCGCCCACAGGAAACCAGCCACTTGAGGAGGAAGTTTGGTTTTTCTGGACTTTAGGGAAACCCGTGACGTTGCAGTTCTCGTAATCAATCTGCTGCTGGGGAGGCGGGGGTGTGCTCGGCTGGCGGACGGGGGATATTTTCCACACAGCCAAAAGATTGACTCCAGGGCTGATAGGAAGCCGAGCTGCGGGGGTGGGGCTTCCGGCAAAGCCTGCTCAAAAGGCCACCGAGCCGGCCACACTGCAGTGCACACTCGCCGCTGTGGTGCTCTGCTCCCGTCCAACCACCGCAGCCAAGGATGCGAGAGACGCCGTCCACCCCCGCTGCCGTGCGTGGCCTCCTGCGGTACCTCTCCCTGAGCCGGGCAGGCCGGAACCGGGTCACCTCTGCCGAGCAGGCCCTGTGTGCTCACGGCACTGCGCTGTGGGCCCACATCCGAAGCCTCGTGCGCAAGGGCAAGGTGGGTGGGCGGCCAGTGTGCAGGGCTTTCCTGGATGGCATGGAAGGACAGGGCCCATCCCCGCCCGGGCATCTCGGCCCCAGCCCCTCCCCGGCCCACTGCTTTCTGGCTTCATTCTCCAAGTCGGGGGGTTCAGGGGTTCTGCTCTGCGGGGAAGGGGCGTCCTCTCCTGCCGGCCTTGCTCTGCTTCTCTTTCCTGTTTATTTTTGTTTACCAGCACAAAAAGAAACTGGTTAACTCCCTTTCCTTGGGAGCCGGTGGGACCAAGGTGACTCTTTGCTCTTTCCTTCCTGGGACAGCTGGGAGAGAGGATTCGGAGGTGACAGACCCCTCGTGCCCTGGTCAGCCCCAGGATTCACTGTGCTGGGGATGTGCCACTGGCCACTGTCCTTTTCAGCATGGTCTTGATTCCACAGACCCAGCCCCTCCGGGAGGCCCGGGAATGGCCCCCAAGACCCCCATGGGATGTTCAGAATGAGACCCTGAGACTGAACCCCCCCTCCCCCCCAGGAGGGAAACGCTCTCTCCCTTTTTTTTCTCTGTTAGTCTGACTATCTTTCTTGAGAATGTGAGCCCACAGGACTTAACTAGGAGGTGGTGGTGGGGGCGTAGTGCTTTGTGTGTGTGTGTGTGTGTGTGTGTGTGTGTGTGTGTGTGTGTGTGTGTGTTGAATGGCTGAATGTGTGAAACTTCCTGCATGGCCTTATAGATCTGCCATAGTGGTGCGTGCGTGTGTGTGTGTGTGTGTGTGTGTGTGTGTGTGTGTGTATATCTCTGTATGTATCTCTGTTATTGCTTCGTAGGTAGGGGTCACGAGGTGTGAAGTCACAGGCTGCTGAGGAGTGCCACGTCAGGGCGGCTCTCTGGCCTGATCTCTCATCAGAATTCCCTGCAGAGGCCTCTAATGGCACAGAGCTCAGATGCTACGCTGAGCGGCTCATCAGGCCACATGTGGCACCCTTGGGACCTGTTTTTTCTCACAAGACCTCCCTGGAGGCCAATCCATTCAGTCTGACCCACTGGTGTGGGTTGTGTGTTCCCCATGGCAGGGTGACAGTGCCCTGCCAGATGGAATTAGGGGCATGTGGTCTGACCAGGAAGGTTTGGGTGGCGTTCTAGCAGTTCGTGAGGTGACAGCCGTGTGGGCGTGTACAATGCACTCTGTGGGCTGGACATCCGGGGGCTGTCCCCTCACTAGCAATGTGCTTAGGGACAAGGCTCTGGCTTCTGTCCTGACTGCAAACCACAGGGTCGGCTCAGACTGGAAGCTGCCCATGGCACCGTCAGCTTCTCTCCGGCATGACCCTGGGAAGTGTCCATTGACACTGGGCTTCCCGAAATGTCTTATTACCCCCTACTGAGCTGTAGGAAGCATCTGTGATGGGGTGAGCAGGGGACCCCACTAGGAGAGGGACAGAGGGAGGAACAGGAGTCAGGGCCCGAGCTTTGACCCACCCAGCCCAGCCCTGGGGCGAACATCTGCCTCTGGCTGCCGTGGCCCAGCGCTCACAGGCTCTCAACTTCCTCAGTTTTCCCCAGGCTCCTGTCTTAGGCTGAGGAGTGAAGTAGCAAGCCCAGGCTGTTCGCTGCTGTTTGAGTGAACCCCGAGGCCTCCGCTAACCATGATTTCTTGCTTTCAGCTGGACCCTCAGACCCTGCAGGACAGAGACTGGCAGCGGACTGTCATCGCCATGAACGGGGTATGAGCACACATGGGTTCTTTGCTTGTTTTGTTTCTGGGTCACACTCGGCCTTGCTCAGGGGTTACTCCTGGCTCTGTATTCAGGATTAGTTCTGGTAGTGCCCAGGGGACCATATGGGGTGCCGGAGATCAAACCCAGGTCGGCTGCATGCAAGGCAAGCCCCCTCCCACTGTACTATTGCGCAGGGTTCTGTAGGCACCTGTTTCTTTCCCCCAAAGTGGAAGGCCATCCCAGTTCTTTCTTAACAGTCAGAAGGAGGCCTGGGCCCTTGTTTGAGGGGTTATGTCGCCAGGAGAGGGGAGGGCTGGAGGGTAGCCACCCGTTCCCCCAAAAAATGACCCAGTAACACCTCTAGGCCTGGTCAGACCTGAGCTCCTAGATTTGCATGTGGAAACTGAGACCCCTGATTTGTCTTTGGTGCCTTCAAAGACTTTGAGCTATTAAATAAAATACTACCACACACTAAAAATAGTCCAGGCGTATATAGCTAAGTATTATCACTGTATCACTGTCATCCCATTGTTCATCGGTTTCCTCGAGCAGGCACCAGTAAGGCTCCAGTAATATCTCCATTCGTCCTAGTCCTGAGATTTTAGCAGGTGCCACATTGGAGGCTCTTTCAGGGACAGGGAATGAGACCCATCATTGTTACTGGGTTTTGGCATATCGAATACGCCAGAGGGAGCTTGCCAGACTCTGCCATGCGGGCAGGATACTCTCCGTAGCCTGCTGGGTTCTCTGAGAGCGAGAACTAGACAGTAAGGGGTCTTGGTTTTATAGTCTCTGGATCTTGCCTGGCTATTGGAAGATGGGGTATCTGGGTGGAGGAGGCCCAGGCATGATCTGAGATCTTGGAGATCTCAGCCCTGGGACCCGCACACCTGGGTTCCTCTGCCGGTCCCTTCATGCGTGCGGCTCGTCCGAGCATGAACCCCCTGGCTGTGGCTGGGTTCCAGGGGTCTTCAGCTACCAGGGCTCTGCTCAGGGCGGGGAGGAAAACTCCACCCGCCCCCTCCAAAGGGCCCCGGTGAGGACAGCCTGGCATGGGGGCAGGAGACTCTGCAAAGTATGAACATATGATAAATTGTTGCTTTGGGGTATATTTTTTTAACTCATTTCCTTCATTTTTAATTTTTATTTTAAAAAAAGAAGTGCTGGGTGCTGTGGGGGAGGGTTCTGCAGAAGCTGCTCCTTGCACCCTTCCTGCCTCTTTCTGGGTGGGACTCGTGCCTTCCCTGTGCTGGCACCACGGGTAGCTTGCCTGGGGCTGGGGGGTGGGGAGGGGGGAAGATCTTCCAAGGTCTGCCAACGCTCCAGGGCCCCTAGGAGCTGGTAAGAGACCGCGCCCCCTCTCCCTCCCGCAGATTGAAGTGAAACTCTCAGTCAAGTTCACCAGCAGGGAGTTCAGCCTGAAGAGAATGCCTTCCCGAAAACAGACCGGGGTCTTCGGAGTCAAGATTGGCGTGGTCACCAAGTGAGTGACAGGCCTTGGACTCAGGCATCCGGTGCTCCCGCCGGTACTCCCCTCCCTCCCCCCCAGCCCACCCATGGACCTCTTCTTTGTGCTTGGTTTGGTCATGGATTTACCCCAGGATTGGGGGACAGTATGTCCTTAGCCACCGTCCATGGTTCCTGCATTGCTGGTCCCCTGCAGTCCACTCAGTCCAGGCCACAAGTAGTCCCGTCCCTCTCTGTGCGTCCCCACAGCTCCCAGAGCTATACGGAGACAGGGATTTTTTTTTTCTTGCCTCTGCTGGGATGTGTCATGATTGACCATGGCTTCCTGCTGGACTGTGGCGTCCCCTGCCCTTTGGTCACTGGTCAGTTGAGAGGAGAACCCAGTGTATTTCTTAGGGCAATTCTGGATCTCTTGGGCCACCTCCTCCAGGATGTTTTCTTCCTGGGGATGGACTGTGACTGGGCCCTGAGCTTGCTAATCCGAGGGGCTTCTGGGGGCCCATGTCAGTGTTCCCCACACATCTGGTTGTCTACCGCCCGCTCCCTGTCCCCCCAGTTCCTCCAGAAGGCTGGGTGCGAGCAGCTATTCAAATCAGTGCCAGTAAGGAGGGCGGCTTGGGAACGCACTTTGCTGGGCTCCTCGGTCAAGTGGCTGAACAGAACTAAAATTAAGCCCCCAAACAGCAGCATTACTGCAGGGTCTCCTGGGAGATGCGCGAGCATCAGAACTTCCAAAAGTGCATGAAATGAAAGGATTCTGAAGTTAGTTGCTCACCTAGCAGATGTTTGGTTCAGTGGTTGCTGTGTGCGGGGCTCGCCTCTTGCAGGGTCTGCCTGGAGGTATCAGGGACTTCATCTTCTGCATAACCAGTGCAGGACTGGGCCTGGGTCTGATCTCCCAACTCTCAGGGTGCCATTAGGCCATCTTTTGTCCCAGGCACTGGTGTCCTTGAACTGACCTTCCCTCTGAGTCCCTTCAGAAGCTCTCTCCCTGCTTTCTCCCAAAGAGCCTGTGTAACTTGCAGGCCTCCCAGCTGGGGGACGTTAGGGAGGGGCCCTGGTAGGATAGGAGCACCATCATCCTTCACTTGCAGAACAGAGGCTACAAAAGTCCGAGTGCACCCCAAACCTGGGTGCGTTCTCAGTCCCTCTGCAGGTATACGGCTGTGCCACGTGCAATGGGCCGGCCTGGGCCAGATCCAGGACTTGCAGGCCCTGAGCTTTTTTGGCTTCCCTTATAGGCGGGAGCGGTCCAAGGTACCCTACATTGTGCGGCAGTGTGTGGAGGAGATCGAGCGCCGGGGCATGGAGGAGGTGGGCATCTACCGCGTGTCCGGAGTAGCCACGGATATCCAAGCGCTGAAGGCGGCCTTTGATGTCAGTGAGTGTCAGCCCCAGGCGGTGAAGGGTGCAGCCGAGGGGGAGGGGCGGGGCTTACCTGTTTCTTTATGCCCTGCACCTTTTCCTCACTTCCTGTTCTGTACTGATTTCTTTTTCCTTTGTAAACCAAAGTTCATGGATTTGCTGTTGGTTTGGAATACCATGTAGATTTTGCAAGTGTGGCTTTATGTCTCAGAATGCATATATGCCTCACAGCACCTACCACAAAGTTCTAGTGTGATTGTGCTGTCATGTATTCTTTTAATGGGGCAGAGAGGCAGGGCTCCCCAGAAGTACTCGAGGCCCCAAATCCTTATTCCCAGTTTTACTTGGCCTGGCTCTGTGCCCTGAGTTTTGTACTCTGGGACACTCTGGTCATACCTGGCAGTGTTCTAGTCCTTTGAAGTACCTTCCTAGCTCCTGTCTGTATATTTTTTCCCCTTTAGATTCTTTTTATTTAATTTTACTGTGGGGACAACCTGCAAAGCAGTGCTCTGGGGGTGTCAGACTGCACTCAGCCTGGCTGTGTCGACCAGGAAGTTCAGGGCTCGGATCTTGGTACTTGGGACTACTGGGATCACCCCTGGCTGCACTCTGGAGGGGGCGGGGCACGTGGTGCCAGGGATCAAACTTGGAGCTTCATGCACACGAGGCATGCACCGCCACTCCGTGAGCTCTGCCAACAGCTCTGTCTGTGTCCTTGAGTGAGGCCAAGGGAGCTGGGTACGGCGGCGGTGCAGAGGCCACTCCTGAACTGTGGACAGGGAGACCCAGGGTGACCCATCTCCTGCCGTGTGTGGCCGTGCGGCCCTTCTCCCTCCCCTGCCTGCACATGCTGTTGAGGGGACCATGCCCGCTGGCAGACAAGGATGTGAGTGACCAGGGAGCCCACAGAGTGGAGGATGCCAGGAGCAGACCGTGATGCCAGGGGCAGTGCCTCTGGCTGGGCTGGATTGTGCCCGTCCAGTGCCCATGGTCAGTAACCCTGAGCCCAAAGGGAAGGTGCCAGTTGAAGCACCAAATGGAACCCCCCCACCATTGTCTTCCTGGTGACCAGGGAGCCTCATCCTCCACCACCAGCCTCGCTGGGCAGAGTAGGATGAGAAGCCCGGAAGCTGGGAGCTGCACGCGCTCTGCCAAGACAGGGAGAAGACCCGAGCGGGGCTCTGAGGAGGGTCCATGTCTGTGCTCTCTGCAGATAACAAGGACGTGTCCGTGATCATGAGCGAGATGGACGTCAACGCCATAGCCGGGACGCTAAAGCTCTACTTCCGAGAGCTGCCCGAGCCCCTGTTCACCGACGAGTTCTACCCCAACTTCACGGAGGGCATCGGTGAGCGGGGAAGGGGCTGCTGTGTTTCCACATGAGACTCAGTTCCTGGCGGCCTCGGCTGGTCTCCGGAGGGCTGTCTGTCCCCACCCCCCCGGGGACAACTGAGAAAGGAAAGCTGGAGGTTGTGGCCCATCCTAGGACAGGACTGGTGTGGGGTCCTGAAGGCTGCCCCTGTCATGGGACAGCCAGCCTGCCCTGCTCCCCCACCCGTGTCCCATCCCCCAGCCCCTACCATGCATGGCTTCCAGGCCAGTTGTCACTGGGTTCGTCAAGAAGGGTACATCTGGGGCTGGAGAAATAGCACAGTGGGTAGGGCGTTTGCCTTGCACGCGGCCGACCCAGGTTCGATTCCCAGCATCCCATATGGTCCCCTGAGCACCGCCAGGAGTTAATTCCTGAGTGCATGAGCCAGGAGTAACCCCTGTGCATCGCCGGGTGTGACCCAAAAAGAAAAAAAAAGAGGGGAGACATCTGCCCCATTACCCATCCCCATGGTTTCTCAGCCCGGCCGGGACAGAGGACCCCAGAAGCCTCTGCCCCTCGTCTGCCCTCCTCTCTCTCTGGGCCGTGCTCCTGCCTCAGCCTCTCCTGCGCAGGACACGGGAAAGGCCAAGTAAGCCGGAAGGACGGCTCTGCCCCACCCCGCGTGCCCCTCATGACTCCTTTGTTATCTAGAAAAGACACTCAGTGTGCTCCACCAGCAACCCCCCAGCTCTCTGTGCGCCCAGACATGAGAAGTAACAGCCTCGTCTGTAGCTCTTTCAGACCCCGTGGCTAAGGAGAGCTGCATGCTGAACTTGCTGCTGTCGCTCCCAGAGGCCAACCTGCTGACCTTCCTCTTCCTTCTGGACCATCTGAAAAGGTATCCCCCATTCTAGCCCCCGTGAGGCTCCGGGGTCCCCAAGCAGCCAGTGTTCTGTCCCACTGTGCTCTGCTTGCCAGCGCCCAGCTCTGTTCCCCAGCCCTGCCCGCAGTTATCAAGAAAGCAGCCCTCTCTAAGTGAAGAGGGAGGTGCTTCTGCCAGGTTGTGGCCAGGAGTTGACCCAGCCACTAGCTGGCCTCAAGTCCCCTTTGTCCGGGCCTCTGTGGGCCCAGGGCACCCAGAGCACAAAGGGTGGGGTGTGCTTTCAGCATAACCAGGCTCCTGCGTCGCCAAGGGAGAGAGGGATGGCTCCCCGCCGTCACCTCCTTGGAGGGGGAGCTCCCCGGTGCCTCGGCCCCTCCTGAGGGCAGTGTTGAACAGGGGCCCCCCGGTGTTGGCTTTCTGCAGGGTGGCCGAGAAGGAGACGGTGAACAAGATGTCCCTGCACAACCTCGCCACGGTTTTCGGCCCCACGCTGCTCCGGCCTTCAGAGAAGGAGAGCAAGCTCCCCACCAACCCCAGCCAGCCCATCTCCATGACCGACAGCTGGTCCCTGGAGGTCATGTCCCAGGTACCGGGAGACATGGTCCAGCCCATTCAGCCTGCCCCGCCCTGGCTCCTGCTGGCTGCTCCCGGGCATCTGCATTGTGTAGGGGAGATGAACGTGGTTCCACGGGTTTTGCGCAGTGCCGTGTGACAGGACGGACCCAGCTGCTTCTGTCTGTGTCTTACTGGCTCTGCCCCTCCTGGTGATCCTTGAGGGAGCCCAGATCTCTTGCACGTAGAGGCCTGAGAGCCGAGCTGCCCCCGGACTCTGACAGGATGCCTGCCCTGCTGCCCTGCGCACTTCTCTGACTTCTTCTCCCCCTCTCTGCTCTGCCCGGCAGGTCCAGGTGCTACTGTACTTCCTGCAGCTGGAGGCCATCCCCGCCCCGGACAGCAAGAGACAGAGCATCCTTTTCTCCACTGAGGTGTAAAGACCCGTCTCCATCTCCAAGAGGGTGACAGAAGGCCTTCTGCGAAGCGGGAACCAAACTTCTTGAGGAGGAATTTGGACATCCCCAAGGGCCTGGCCATCTGCCAAGAGACAGCTACCCGAGGCAAAAGGCCACGCCACGCAGCCGGGGCAGTTCCAGGGAGTGCCCCTAGGGAACCCCCGGCAGGCCTCTGACTGTGGCTTTCCGCCCTGCCACCGGGGGGCGCCCCAAGCCAGCACATCTTGAAGTGCTCGCCTGATGGAGGCCGGACCGGGGACCGGGCGAAGGGAGCGGTTTTTATGAACCTAACTTATATCTGAGTTTAAACTGTTTCTACTGGATCACTCGTCAAGATGCACCCTTTCTGGGGAGAAGGGAACGCAAGCAGGTCCCCTCACTCTGTGTCTTGAATAAACACTGCTGCTGCTTCATACTGTGGGGCCAGTTCCGATCCTCTGACGCTGGAATCCTGACTCTCCTAGGGACAGGGTTCCAGCGCTGCGGGGCGGGGGGCTCTCCTCCCCCTCCCCTCCCCCCTTCTCCTCCATCCTCCCTCTCCCTCTCCCTGTGTGCAGATACGTGTCGGCTGCCTGTCCTGTCCTCTGCTTTTTTATTCCCCCATGCCCACTGTCACATGCCCTCTCAGAAGGCAGCCCCATCACTCCCGGGTGGGCACCCAGAGGAGGGATTCGGGCCGTTCGCACTTTAGGGGGTTGTCGGAGAGAGCAGCCCCCACCACCATCCTCACCGCTGCTCCCCCGGAGCCCATGCACCCCTCCGGCCTCAGAGGGCCTGTTGACTTCTGTGTTCCCCAGCCCGGCTCTTCTCTGCCCACATCCTCTCCTCCCCCCATCCCCACCACACACACACACACACACACACACACACCACACACACACACACACACGATGCTTCATCCCTTGCCCCCCTCTGCTGAACCAACTTGGTAAACTTTTTTGTACAAGTTCCTTCGCGTGGGCAGCCTGCTGACAGCTTGTTTAAAACTTCGATCCCAGTAACCTTTTGATACTCAAACATTTTAAAGTTTTATATGTAGTTTCTAATTTTCTGTCCTAACAGATGCAGCTAATAAGATATTAGAATGTATTCTGTGGACAATTGGCTTCACAGTAGCATGTGTATCTCCTTCCAAGCCCAGGAGCTCTGTTCTGAAGTTTCCTGAGCTCTGGGGATTGGGGGATGGGATGGGGCGAGGGGCGGGGCGAAGATGGGGTTGGGAGTTAGCAACTGGCTGCCCATCCCAGAGCGGGTGGGAAACAGACCCACCCCTCCCGTGAGCCCCTCTGCCCTCCCACACTGGGCAAAGCCAGGACCTTGCTGGAAACCTTCCTGTCTGCGTTACAGAGCTGGTAAAGCCACTAGAAATGTTTTGAAGAAACAAACCTAGAAAGGACAGCACCATAAAAGGGTTCGGGGTGAGGAAAACAGGAAAATGGACTGCTGCTCACAGAAGAGAGGAGGCCTGAGCAGCCAGAGAAGGGGGCAGAGAGGGGAATCGTGGCTGCCCATGTGCTTATACCAGTGACACTGCCCAGGACTCTCCCAGTGTGTCCTTGAGCGGTTCCTGCCTCAGGTGGCAGCACTCGGGGAGCACCTGCTCTCACCTGCGGAGCCACTGAGGTTCTTTCCCCAGAAGGCGTTACCTCTGCATGCTGTGTTTGGTTTTTCCTTCTCGCAAGGAGGACGCGTCCATCATTTTAAAGCAGTGCCTCTGTGTGGGTGCCGGAGCACGTGTCTGTCGCTAATGCATTTCTGGCCCCTGTGGGTTTCTTTGGCCTCCCGTTCAGGCCTGGCTTCCATCCCTGCCTCTTCCCAAACAGTAGTCCAGCAGAGGCTGTGCTTACCCAAGGGGAGCGCCCAGGCGTGTTGCTGAGAGATGCTCGACTGGGCAGTGCAGAGAAGCCATTAGCAGCACCAGCAGGGAGCCCGAGAAGCAGCCCTGGAGGGGATGGGGGTAGGATATGACACAAGTAGCAAAAGAGGGACTGGAGGTAGGGTATTTGCCTTGCACACAGTGGACCGGTTTCGAGCCCCAGCATCCATATGGTCTCTTGAGCACTGCAAGGAGTAATTCCTGAGTGCAGAACAAGGAGTAACCCCCGAGCATCACCAGGTGTGACCCAAAAAGAAAAAAAGGGGGGGGGGCAGCTACCTGGAAAGGGATTTTTTAAATGAGACTTCGGTTTTGGTTTATTAATTTACAAAAGAACTACCTGTCTATGAATTGCTTAAAATTATTTTAACATGGGTGATATTTTTAAATAACATCATACAATGAACAAAATAACTTCTTATTCATAGCATTTTATGAGTTCTACTGCAAAGCCCTCCTGCTACTTTTGTCAGCCACATCCCTGTAGGGGAAAGAGAATTTTGTTATGGTCATCTTTAGAAACCTTCCAGTTGTCTGGTAGGCAAGGTTATCTGAACTTAAGTAAATCAATTTAACCCAGTAAAATTTTTTTTATATCCAGGGCTGAAGTGATAGGGCACTTGCATTGCACACGTTTGACCCAGGTTCCATTTTGCTAGCACAGGGGCTTGTTGGGTGACATCCTGAAGTACTCGGGCTATTCCTGGCTCTTTGCTCAGGAATCACTCCTGGCATTGCTCAGAGGACCACACATGTGGTGCCAGGGATCGAACCAAGGTTGGTCACATGCAAGGCAAATGCCTTAACCCAAAAAGGGACTTTGTGGCCCGAGGAGAGTTAAAGACTGAGCCCATGGGTTGCATTTGGACCTGGGTTGGAACCCCAGCACCAACATGGTCCCCTAAGCACCACCTTGAGTGACACCCTTAAGCAGTGTGCCAGGATTAGCCCCTAAGCACTGCCAGGTGTGACCAGAAACTGTAAAAAAGGGAAAGGGAACGTTTTGGATGCTGCATAGGAATACATGGGACTGTTCTGAGCTTCTCAGTATTGGGGGCTTATCTCTGGGCAGAGAAGAAAGCAGCCAGAACCTCAGTGGAGAGTCTCCGGTCCATTCCCTCCTCAGACCCAGCTTTTCTGGGGGTGGATGAGCCTCCTGCCTCCCTTCTTACGTGTGGTCTCTTACGTGTTTGGAGGCAGAACTTTGTCTCCTGCAGGAGCTAATGTGAGGGATGATCTTCGGGAATCGGGTAGGAATCGCTGCTGATGAAGTTTAGGGCTCTGGTCAGACCCACAGACCCTGGTGTGAAGTTCTCAGCTACCCACATGGTCCCTGATTTTGTGCTGTAAGGACAGTTTCTGCTCAGACTAACTCATGAGACTCTAGACTCAGGGTCAAGAGTCAAGCTTCTGTGACTCTTGACTGTCTCCCAGATCAAAGACACGAAAGGTCATTCCTATAATCACCGATCTGCTCTTTTAAAATATTTTAATAAAATAATCATCTGACAATTAGTATGATTACCAACAATTGAAATCTCATTCCTTGACACTACTTGACTATAATAAATATAGTACCACTGGTAGGAAAGAAAAAGACATGATTAAACCAGAATCATGATTAAGACACATAAAGGGTAGCAGTTGCCAGAAAAATGTTCTAAGGATTTAAGGTAGAATTTGAATGATAGCATTAGGGAAGGCACTTGCATGCAGTCAATCCTGACTTGATCTCCTGCATCCCATAGGACTGTAGCACTGTCCCCCCCCCCCCCCTTGTTCATCTATTTGCTCAAGCGGGCACCAGTAATGTCTCCATCATGAGATTTGTTGTTACTGTTTTTGGCATATCGAATACACCACAGGGAGCTTGCCAGTCTCTGCTGTGCGGGCGGGATACTCTCAGTAGCTTGCCGGGCTCTCCGAGAGAGACGGAGGAATTGAACTTGGGTCCACTGCATGCAAGGCAATCGCCCTACCCGCTTTGCTATTGCTCCAGCCCATATGGTCCTCTAAACCTGCATCCTGCATCCCAGATGGTCCTTAAACCCTGTCAGGAGTGATCCATGAGCACAGAGCCAAGAATAAACCCTGAGCACCACCAGGTATGGCCCAAAAACAAAAAAAAAATTTGAAGTGGTGGGTTATTACACTTGATCTTAGCCAAAAGGCCGAGAAGCGATGAAGTGGTGGATTATTAAGCAGTTTAATCCTACAGGTAAGTTTGGTAATGGAGTCCTATATTATCATCATTCCTGTACTTTCAGAAAAAAATATTCTATACATGAAGACACAGAGACCTATTCTGGGGAGTGTGGTCTCTGCAAAGTGGAGATGTGTGGTAAGAGAAAAGAATTCATTTATGCCCCACTTCAGTTAAGGGCTCAGTCTCTGGGGTGATGAGTCTCCCTTCTGGAATGGTACACAGCCCAGTCAGGCCACGTCCAGACCCGGGTATACCATAGTCATGTCATGCCATAGTCTCAAGCCTTGACAGTTCATTCTCCATGAGGCAAGCATTGCAGGGAAAACTACATAATATCTGTCATGAGTCCCTGTCATTTGGGCCAAAGTATCCCTAGTAATCATGGTAGTATAAGACCTGAAGAATGTGTAGAAGAAAGTCCAACTAGGAGAAAGTGAGAACATGAGAATATGTAGGAAAATTTAAAAAATCTGATTTGCTTTCTTTTGCGGGGTGGGGGGGCACACCCAGTGATTCTCTGGGGTTACTCATAGCTCTGCACTCAGGAATTATTCCCAGTGATACCTAGGGTACCATATGAGATGCTGAGGATAGAACCCAGGCAAGCACCGTACCTGCTGTACTATCTCTACAGCCCCAAATAGTTTTCTGGTGAGGTGAATCCTATAAAAGTCTATTTGTTACACCTCTCTGCTAACATGCACAGTGATGTGAAATCTTCCCATTGTAGCACCCGGGCAGTAGAGGAGGACTGGGAGAGGAATGAGAGACAGATTCCTTTAGGGGCTGGAGACTAATGGGCACTCGTAAATAGTGGAGTGGCAATCTTTGGGCTGGAGTCTTTCCATTTCCCTTCTGCTTGCCCTGAACCAGCACTGGGCTCTGCAGGGGAGTGGAGCACCCAGCCATGAGCAGCGAACTGGCCTTGGTGGAGCTTTAGAATGACAGTGTCTGATCAGGCTGTCTCGGAACTCTGTCTGGCTTCCTTCCGGTTCACAGAACACGTGACTTTGTGCATCCACTCATAGGCACACCTCCTACTGCTGCACAGACTTTGCCAGGTCAGGGGGCATGACAGCCCAGCAACCTCAGGCTCACGATGGCACAAATAAGAGACACCAAGATTTCCCTTTCTACCTGGCCTTTATGTGTGTCCTTGTGAGTGATCACAGTAGGATCAGCAGTTTATCAAATGCCCAGAAATTTGCTCCTACCGGTGTTCTGTTACAGTTCTCTCCCCTACTCGAGAGATTTTACACGCAGGTTTGGCCTGATTTGGCCTGCCTTGAAGCTTTTAGGTGACCTTAAAGGACTCCCTGGAAAATGGCCAG